TGGCACGTTCCTCTCCAGTTTTCTGGGGCTAGCACGGTTGGTAATTACCTATGTGTACTTACCTAAGTGTAGTTACAGGATGAGAGCTACTCTCGTGGTGTCCCGTCTTCCCAGCACTCTTTGTCATATAATGCTTTGATTATAATTGTCATATTGTCATATAATGATTGTTATATGTCATAATATGTCTTCATATGATTGTCATACAATGCTTTGGTGGTGGGGCTTCAGGTTTGCTGTTTTTATTGCATTCCCTATTTTGTGAAGGGCACTTTGTATACTCTTTGCATCTTTACCGGATCTTAGTGCCCTGTCTGCGTCTGAGATTCGGTGTCTGGCCTACCTCGACGACTGGCTGGAGTGGGCTCCCAGTCAGTCCGCTTGTCTGCTCGCCTGGGGATGGTTCTTTCCAGATCGCTGGGTTTGGTTTCCTGGTGATCTGGAGGTTTTACCTTCTGTTTCCGTCCCGGGTTCGGACCTGGGCCTTGTTTCAGGCTCTTGGGCCCCTCATTGTCTTCCCTCCAGAAGTGTTACTGTGGCTGTGGTCCCGCCTTTGGCTGTTCAGGAGGGGGTCCCGTGTTGCTCAGCGGTTGCTTGGGCGGTTGTGCGGGAGTTTGCACTTCGGCGTGCTTGTCTGCCCGCGGAGTCGGGTTTGGCTCCGGCGTCGGTTGGTTCCTACGGAGACTCCACTTCCGCCTCTTGCATTCCTTGGGTTCCTCTGGGGATTTGGTGTTGGTGCTGCGTCACCAGCTTCCTCTTTGGGGTTTTCGGGGTTCCGTGCCTTGGCAGCTCCCCGAGCCTTCGCTCGATGTGTTCACGGACGGGTCGTCTCTCGGCTGGGGCTTTGTGATCAGTGCTCACCAGGTCGGCCGAGGTTGATGGAGTCTGTCTGTCCGTCGGGCTCACAGCCCGGTTCAGGTGTTCATGGCTGTCTGGTTTGCGCTTCGGAGGGTTTGGGTCACTAGGTACTCTACCATTCAGCTCTGTTTGGACTGTTCTCTGGTGGTTCTTGCCGGAACCACAGGGGGTTTGGTTAACCGTGTGGTTCGTATCCGGGGTGTGTCCTGCGTCCTGGTGGACAGCTGTCTCGGTTCATTCCTCTTCGTGGGTTGGCCAGTCGTCGCCGATTCGTTTTGTTGGCTCTGTTGGGCTTATGGACTCCTGGCCATGGACGTCTTCGGGTCGGCGTGGTCTAGGCGTCGCCCGTTTTGTGGCGCCCTTCCCACCTGCGAGGACTTCACGGTGGAGGCTTTCGGCAGGCCTGGTCGAGGTGGGGGGTACCTGTACCTCTTCTCCCGGTCCAGCTGTTGCTTCGGGTTCTGGCTCGGTTGCAGCCCATTCCCACGAGAACAGTCCTTATGGTTCCACGGTGGCCGGCCCGGCCTTCTTTTCAGACGCTGCTTGATAGGTGTCCGTACCCGGGGCGTTTTTCCTGAGGCTTCGCCTCTTTCAGCAGGCCGAATCGATCCTGTCCGTGACTGGTTCGGCCTTCTCTTTGGCTCTTCGCGTCTGGTATTTTGACGCAGGTATCGCCATCTCTATGGTGTTCAGGTGGCTTTGTTGACGGTGTCCCACCTGCGAGCTTCGTCTTGGAGACTGTATAACGTTTATTACGTTTTCTCGCGTTTTGTTTCCCCTCCGGCCTGCTCATGAGTCGCCTGCGACATCCTGGTCCTTGTTCAGGGTGCCTTCTTCTCTTCCCCTCAGTTTGTGGTAGCCCCTTCGGTTTCAGTTTCCTCCTCTTTGGTACTGGTGGTAGCTTTATTGGTGTGCAGCCTTTCTCTGTCCTGGCGACGGTCGAGACGGCTGCTTTCCGGAGGGGTTCTTGGGGGTATTGGTACTTGTTTGGTTTGGCCGGGGGGTGCGTCCTGTGTTGTCCAGTTGTGCTTTTTGCTGTTGCCGGCGTACCGTGCCTGGGGATGCGCTGTGGTTGATCCGGTTCCTTCGTTCCCTGTTTTCAGGGCTCGGGTCTCCCGGGTCGTCCGCAGTGTTTTCCTTCTTCCTGCGGTCTGTCTTTGTGCCCGTGCTGTTCAGACGTTTGCAGCAATTGCTGCTGTGTTGGTGACGTCTCGGGCTCATTTCGGGCACAGGGAATTGTGGGTCGCACAGGTTTTTGGCCGCCCATCCATATGTGCGTCTGTTCTTGGGCGTTCTTGTTGCCTTGGGTCGCAGGTTTGCGACCGGTTGTCTTGGCTTTGCGTTGCAGAGTTTGTGGCGGCCGCCTCCCGGGTTAGCCCTTTCTTTTCCTTCTCTTTGGGTATGAAGCTCCAGGGAGCCGTAGGGGCTCCCCACAGAAAACCAGCGTTGAATGTAATGAAACGCCATTTTCTGGGTGAGCCCCGGAGGCTCCCTGGAAACCCTCCCTCCCACCGGTCGGCGGTTTTTTCGCGTTGGTTGAAGCTTAGCTTCCGAACTGGAGCTTGGCAGCCGGCGCGGTAGGTCCGGGGCTCCCCCCTCCCCCTCCCGGGGTGGGGAGGGCTGCGCGGACGATCGGCGCGGCAGTAAAGTGTGATGTTTGCTTGTTTGCTTGTTTCCTTGGGATTGTAGGGAGTTTTCTACCTCTCTGTTCGGTTTTTGTTGTAGTTTCTTACCATGTGGGGGTTTGTTTTGTTACGCCTACCTTTCTGGGTGCCTAACCCCAGTCGATGGCAGATAAGGAAAACCCCCAACCATATGGGGTTTTCCAGGGCCATTGCTCCCTGAAACCTCTCTGAAGGGGCCAGGTTCTGGCGCTGGTCCCTGATAGGTCTGAACTCCTTAGCTAATGTCCCGGTCTAACATAACATACATTAGCCCGATAAGCTCCAGGGAGCCTCCGGGGCTCACCCAGAAAATGGCGTTTCATTACATTCAACGCTGGTTTTTTGTTGCCGTTGCTTTTTTAGCTTGAATTTATTATAATAAACCTTTTCTTCAATCTTCTAGCTTAGGCATAACATTTCTAGCTGCACCCTGTATACCTAGTTTTTCAGTTCCAGAAGCCATTTTGTAGGATGTCTTTGCACTTTTTCCAGTTTAATGATGTGCTTCTTGAGATATTGTACCATGCAACTGCCGCATTTTCCAATAAATATGATGAAAAAAGCTACAGTAATATGCGTGTCAGGTACAAATTGCTAGGAGGTGGGGTATGAAGAGCTAGATCTCACTTCCCTATAGTTACTGATTGGTAAGCATTATGCACTATCTTCGTCGCTGGAAGAGAGAAACGCTCGGGGAGACATGATCACGACATAGAAAATTCTCAGGGGAATAGACAGGGTAGACAAGGATGAATTATTTAACATGGGTGGTACACGCACAAGGGGACACAGGTGGAAGCTGAGTAGCCAAATGAGCCACAGAGACATTAGCAAGAACTTTTTCAGTGTCAGAGCAGTTAGTAAATGGAATGTACAAGGAAGTGATGTGGTGGAGGCTGACTCCAAACACAGTTTCAACTGTAGATATGATAGAGCCCAGTAGGCTCAGGAATCTGTACACCAGTTGATTGACAGTTGAGAGGCAGGACCAAAGAGCCAAAAGCTCAACCCCCGCAAGCACAAACAGATGAATACAAATAGGTGGGTGAGTAGTATCTGGGGTAATGCACTTTGAATGTAAGAAATCCCCCAAAGGGCTGACTTTCTCAGGGAAGATAACCTTGACTCAAGGTTACCTTTTATTGGTTTTGAAGGTCAACATTACCATGGCCCGGTCTCTGACCAGTCCTCCTTGTTAGTGGTCTGATCTACCAGGCTGTTAAATGAACTGCTTGCAGTCTGACATAGGAATCACAGCCTAGTTGATCAGGAATCCTTTGGGGGGCGTTTATCTTTCTTTTCTTACACACCGTGAGAGGTCAGGTGGTTATTTCCCTTGTGTTTAGAGGGGGTGCCAAAGTCTTGAGCCCTTCATATTGATAGTGCTCTCACAGCATACCAATTGCATCTCTTTTCAAAGGGAGTATTTTACACATTCTACGATGCCTCCAGGTCTCATTTTGGAGTTATTTCTGTGTGCAGATTTGGAACTAGTCAATTTTAATTAATGTAGCTACAGCAAAATATGAATTGGGGCATACACATTAGGAAGGCCAAAGTAAACACACACAAAACCTGAACAGAGGCAAAAGGAAGGCTAACACTTAGATGAGGACTGAGCCCAAAGAATGGTGGGAAGCCTAGTGCACCAGGCATGTGAATGAGGATATTGGCCAGTCAGCACCATCAGGTCTACCGACCTGACTACCTGTTGAAGATTCTGAAAATCACTGTTCCCGCAGCTCTGACCAGGCCTCCTGGTTGCTGGTCTGATCAACCAGGCTGTTTGATATGGCTGCTCGCAGCCTGACTTATGAGTCACAGCCTGGTTGTTCAGGTATCCTTTGAAGATGCTTTTCGAGGTCTCTTTTGAACACTGTGTGAGGGCAGCCGGTTATGCCTCGTATGTGCAGGGAAGGTAGCCGGGGCTACCATCCGGTGACAAGTGGTTGTTACCAACTAGTGGTTGTTTACTGCAAATGAGCTTGTGCATAGTTCATGTCAGGGTTGCAGTTGCTTGTTTTGTTGTACTCGACCCTGCTGCATTTTTCCTTTGGATTACTAGGATGGTCTAATACTCCAAGACTTTATTTGCCTTTGGTCCAAGCCTGTGGTAGGCATTCATGGAGCTTAGAGACTGTTGTGGTACCCAAAGTTTGCAGGTTCCCTCGTGGGTAGTTTGGGGAGACACTGAGGGGGAAGTCCTTTCAGAAAAGTCTTCTAAACTATCTCCTCCAGCTTCTTTCTTGTCAAGTGGCCAGTGGTACAGTACCCAAAACTATCTGGTGTATAGTATAAAACCATGTTAGATGGACATCACTAGGTTAGTGTAAGTAAACTTACAAATATATATCCACATATTGTATTGAATAACAGTCTATATAGATAGAAATGGAATATACAATATTGTACTTCATGAAAAGTTTTTGCATAAAGTTGTTACTTGGCAATTATTTGCTCTTTCATTTACTTTTTCAGCCACTTCTTGGAGGAGATGATCACGATTTGGTGCCTCATGGGCGGGTAAGTCTCGTGACATTTTGCAAAAGACATTTTATAAATTGATTAAAACTGAAAGAATTTTTAAGTGCAATTGTAATTAGAATACCGTTGTAAATTTGTTAGAAATCAAGCATTGAATGTATTGAAATGCCCTTTTCTGGTGGGCACTAAGTAGCTACATGAGCTTAGCTCTGGTGCCACCAAGCCTTTAGCCCAACACAATGGGCTTTGTCTTTCAGAAACCAAACCAGAATCTGGTTCATTCTACAAGGCAAGGGGGAACATGGGATCAGTGAGTAAATACAAAACTGGGGAAACCTCCATCATAAAGCATAGGTACAACACAGCAAGTGATGGGACAACCATGAAGGAAGTATCTCTGAGAAAGACCTGAGAAAATGGGTTGAACACCTAGACAAGTGCCAGTAGACAACAACAAAATCACTATCAACCATAAGGAAACAGAAGGTTATCTCTCAGGAGGAAGCTGTGATAGTAAACAGTTAACTGAAAATGGAAGTTGATCAGTATGCAAAGAAAGACGGAGCCGGTGCATGCGGATGGTCTCTGTAAGATAAGACAGTGGACCCTGAGAATTGGGTGGCAAAAATCACACTACAAATTGGGACCCAGCAAGACACACCCATGTGGGAGTGGAGGGGGCAGCCAGTTCTGAAACTGGGAAGAGGAGAACATGCCTGTTTAGAGCAACAAACCTTCAGGACCAGAAAGTAAACTTATCAGAGAGGGTCAAAGGACAACTATGGACAACTCTGGCAACCCCTAATACCCCAAAACTTTTCCCTGGGGCACAAAATGTCAGCTGAGGAAGCACACAATTACAACTAGGAGAACTCTAGAACTTCAGGAAAACAAGCTACTGGAATTTACACAGTAAAAGAAAAACCTACTGGAGCAAACAGTGTGGTAGAAAAGGCAGAATAAAACCAGCAAAAGAGTAGAGGTGCCATAGACACAGTCAGAGAACACTGTATGAACATCAGCGGTCTACAACTATTCAATATTCTACTAATAAACAGAAATGTTACCAGAACAAAAGTGGATGTGTTCAAGAAGCAATTAAACAAATTCTTGCAAGAAATGCCAGACCAACTGGGCTGCTTTGGATATATGTGCATATATATATTAGGCCCATACAGTATATCCATATATAGGATATATGGGCCTAGTAGGGTCTAGCCTTTTGTCATATTCCCAGATGGAAGCTGGCAACCCAACCTTAGGACCAGCTTAGAAAAGTTGCAGCTGTCCCCAAAAGACAACACAACTTTATGTGGGTGGAATAGTGGGGAAAAAGCAATGCAAGCACAAACATTTGGGAGGCATGGGGAAAGTGTTCACTTGCTATTGCAAGCTGAGGCAGAAGCGGTAGGGAATGCCAGTTGATACTTGGCTAATAGGTATAAGAAAAGACTTTAGAATTTTTATTGTAAAATAGAGAAGGATTGGTACCTGTACCTTTTGTCACAGAAAAGGGCTGCAAGTCTATATTGTAGAGCCCAGAGCCTGAATTCTGGTGCTTAGCTCAAGAGGCAACTCTGCCAGTGCCAAGGTCTAGAGCCAACAAATGGCACACACTTCAGCAGGTGAAAGGAGTCTGGAACACAACAAACCACAAAGTGTTGATAACAGGAATGGCCATCAGGTTTAAAAAAAAAAGAGAGAGAAACTGCAAGCTGCAGAGTTAAGTATGGAATCTGATAGAGAAGCCATAAAACCCCCAGCCAAAAAAAAAATTTGTTAACCATTACCCATCAAAGTTTCAGAACTTTTACTCTGCCTTTAATTTTTTAAAAAGCAACTTCTGACAGTAACTAATGCTTATTACAACTAGATTTTTTATATTTTAAATATTAATACTCAGATATAAGATGCCCTTGTTAATTAGACTTAATGAGATTTGTGATGTACAGCTGTTACATATTTAACTTTTTTTTTAATATTTTAAAGTTATAACTCTTATTCTTTCCAGTCTGCCTTAGGTGGTGATGACCATGACAAAAAAGCACATAAAAAGGTTTGTACTTGCACAATAATCATAATATTGTATGGGTTTTTGTTCACCTACATAATGCATGGAACACCACACTGTTACATTCACCATTATGAATGTTCACTTGGTTTACCTTGTAAAGTCTATTAATGTTATGTCACCTGATTATGAGCTTGAGAGCACTTATTTCATTATCTTAAATTTTATTAGATAAAGCACTCTTAATGCTTGTTAAATATCACATAGCTTTACAACAGTATTGTGTACAGTATTACTGCTATGTTATTATGCTCCTGACTTCCTAGAAGTGCTGATATATAGGGGTTGCTTTATTGATCCTTCTGTGTCCATCAGCTTACACTAATTTGGTTAGAATATGGTAAAGTTTATCATTGTCTGGATGAAATGTTTTATACGGATGTGTGGTTAAAAGTGATACATGCTTGTGAGTGTAACTGGGTTAGGATAAATATACAGTATGCCGAAATGTGTATTGATATTACTTTGTTAAATGAAACTTTGCTAAGGAAGTAATTTTTGAGGTACTGGTATTGCCTAATGAATATAGATGGCTTAAACATTTTTGGGTCAATATTCCAAAAGTCTTTCTCCATCTCCAGAGTTGAGGGTATTAAAACCTAAATAAAAGTCAGGCTTTGAGTACAAATGAAATGTGCTTTTCTGCATATTACATGTAGTTGCTCCTTGTGATAAAATCGTTCCGACGTGTGGTCATAATCTCGTGTAGTCATAGCAGGCCGACATTCTGCACGCTTGCAGTGGAAAAGTTTGGAAAATACTAGAGAATACTCAGTCTTGCCAAAAATACAGCCAGAAACTGCATTTGTGTAAAACTCAAAATCTTTCGAAGTACGACTTTGCATCAAAAGGATTGCCAAGAAGTTACCTTGCTGACTACCAAATGACACACTAGGCCACTACTGGCTGCCACCAGAAGGAATCAGGAGCAACCAAGTGTTCTGCAAAGAAACTGATTTTTCACAGGTACTCAGTGTATGCAAAGCCACTCTGAGCTATTCCACTTACAGGTAGTTGTTTCCTAAGGCAAGCATCGATAGAAGCCACCATAACAAAAATTAGAGTGCAGCTTAATTAATTTGGCTGCATGGTAGCATTGATTGTAGCTGCAATAAATGAAGTGTCTGGAGAACAGAAGCTGCACTTCTCACTACTGAATCTTGCCATAAGGTAAGATGTTCATCTAGAGGATAGCTTGCCTATGAGTGTCCATTAGCAGTGCAGTTGGGGAACCTTAAGAAGATAACAGGAGGCAAATGTATGTGTGGACTCTGTAAACCTCCATAGCTTTGATGTCGGCACAGGGCATCACGTTTAGTGTGTGACGTTCTAAAGATCCTGGGCCTTAGAATAAGCCTGTGACTGGCTTGGTTTAATGAGGTGTTTGATTAGAAATCCAAGTGAGGAAGGGCTCCCCATGAAAACTGGAATTGAAAGAGTATTAGATCAAGGATGAGGTAATGTTGGGGAATCCATCAGATCACATCATACTTGTGATTAGAGGAAGCCCTAAGGTACTTAATAAGAATCACCACCACCTGCTCCCTATAAATGTGGCACTAGCTCTACCCTAGAACTCCAAATGATTGGCGGGGTTTGTGTAACACTTAATGACTGACCCTCTGCATGAGGAGTTTGGCAAGCAAAGAAACTGGATTGAGACACTTCACTTAAATATGGCATAATGTGACAGATAAGTTGCACCTTGACTATGGCTTGGCTGGATTGAAAGTATGTGTAATATGACTGAGGGTTGGTTAAATGTGTGGGCCGAGTTGTGATTTGGGCTTGATAAAATGAATGTGCCTGGCAAAGAGTTGAAATGGTTTACTTGCTCTATTAACATTTCATGAAAGTGCTTTTAATGAAAGTTTTGGGTTTACAAGCTTCATTACAGTAAGTAATTGATGAAATATATTGAAGCGCTAGCTTACAGAATTTCACATAGTGGATGCAGAAATACGGGTATTGTATATAAATTTTTCAGATTAGGGCTGCATGAAAATAGATTAAGCGTTGCTTAACAATGTATATTCCCTTCTTATGAACTATCAAGTATTGCACCCAAGCTTTACCCTGCTCAGCTAACCCTGATTACTCATTCCTCACCCTTGCTGCTTTGTTTACAGAAACATGGCAAGCATAACAAGCACAAGGGAAAGAAGGTACGTTAATTTGATCTAATGTCTGTTAAGGTAACACAAAACATTCAACTGATATGCATTTTAACTTTCTGAATGTTGTGTGTTTTAAACTTCCAAAATTCAATAAGCTATTTTTATTTGTTACTGTTAATGTATCCTACCAAAGGAATGTTATAGCATTTGCTTAATTCATTTTTTCTTTTGAGCATGGACCCCATGTAGCTCTTTTAAGTCTTAACACTGGACCCACCCAGGTCCTTGTTAGTATGCCAGGCCCTGAGCGACTTTGAGCCCCATAAAGACGAGTAACTTTACAAATTGCCTTTTCCCCATGAAAAAGTGATAGAGAGCTCATTTGAGAATTTACCTCAATCCACTACAAAGAGAAACCACCTGCTATGATACCCATGAACATCTCAAACCACATCCTTTAAACAATCCTTGGCAATTTTAAAACTGCCAAGAATAGTTTTAAACTACTGAATCACCACTACTTAACTACATTGAATAGTTGAGTAGGTGGCACCACTAGTGGACTATAGGGTTGGATGAGGCAGCTACTCAGTTTGGCATTTGGAGTCGTCCTGTTGATACCACAGCTCTGCAGAGACCAATTCTTTATTTTGTTATACTGGTTGTTTTTTGAAGCTTTGTCTCTGCACTGTGGGTTCCATGCCTCCATGCTCTGAAGTCTTAGCTTCAGAGCATGGTGCCTAGTCTGTACGTGTGTCCCTTTGAATTTGTGTGTCCCTTAAAATTTACCTCAAAATTCTGGAAGGAAAGGAAGTATGAGCAACATTTTTTCTCATAGATTCTGGGAGGTGATGACCATGACAGAAAGCCTCACAAGAAGGTAAATATTATTTAATAATTATTTTCTGGTTCTTTTCATTGTTCAATAATTGTATGTACTGTATATCTATTAGCATAGCATGTATTCAGCTTTTTTTTTTCTTATTGACACTAATTATCATCTTCCAGCGTGTACTTGGTGGTGATGATCATAACCGGCAGCCTGATGACAGGGTGAGTTACATGGGTGACTGTAGGGTGGAGGGTAGGTGGATGGGTAATGACTGGCAGCTTGATGACGGGGGTGAGTTGGAAGGTGGCTTGTAAGGTGGAGTATAGACGGAGGGTTGATGACCTTCAGCCTCATGATGCACATCAATAAACTGGAAGAAGTGCAAAAGTATGCTTCAAAATGACTTCCGGAACTGAAAAACAAGAGTTAAAAGGAGAGGCTGGAGGCAATAAATATGCCAAAGCTAGAAAATAGAAGAAAAAGAGGTGCAAGATTGAACCAGTGAAGAGCAGAGGTGCCATAGGCACAATCAGAGAGCACTGTATAAACATCAGAGGTCCGCGGTTGTTCAGCGTCCTCCCAGCGACTATAAGAAATATTGCCGAAACAACTGTGGACATCTTCAAGAGAAAACTGGACTGTTTTCTAAGAGAAGTTCCGGATCAGCTGGGCTGTGGTGGGTATGTGGCCCTGCGGGTCGCTCCAAGCAACAGCCTGGTGGACCAAACTCTCACAAGTCAAGCCTGGCCTAAGGCCAGGCTTGGGGAGTAGAAGAACTCCCAGAACCCCATCAAGCAGGTATCAAGCAGGTGGTGATATGATCACCACTAAAAATAATACAAGAAATCTACGAAATTAAATTGACAAAGAGGAATTAGTGAAAACAGCAACTTAAAGAACAAAAAGTCATAGATTCAAGCTAAGGAAACAAAGATGCCGAAAAAATATTGGAAAGTTTTCTTTCGCAAACAGAGTGATAGACAGTTGGAGCAAGTTAAGTGAGAAGGTGGTGGAGGCTAAAACGGTCGGTAGTTTCAAATCGTTATGTGACAAAGAGTACAGTACTATGTATCTGGGGAAGACAGGACACCACGAACATAACTCTTATCCTGTAACTACACTTAATTAATAAGGTGAGTCGAAAGGTGGACCATAGGGTGTTGAATATTTATCGAGATCCTTGATGAATATTTAATTTTTAATTTTATGGCTGATTTTCAATACTGTAATAATAAGCCAATTGATATTTTTTGTGTTTGGAGGATGCAAAGTATTTTTGGCACACACACACACATATATATATATATTATTAAATATGACCGAAAAAGTAAGATTAATAATTCTAACACGAATTTTCTCAATCTTTCGTACATTACGCTTCACTGTTGGAGGTAAATAAAAAATCACTTCTCCAAAATTCATTTTTATTTCTAGTCTGACGCGACACGGGCGCGTTTCGTAAAACTTATTACATTTTCAAAGACTTCACAAATACACAACTGATTAGAACTTACGTATCTCTGATTTTATATCTACATTTGAGTGAGGTGGGAGGGGTGATGTGGCATTGACACAAGACAGAACAAGAGAGGATATTAATAGGGTATTAAAAGTATCAACACAAGACAGAACAGAAACAATGGGTATTGAATAGAAGTGTTTGTAGAAAGCCTATTGGTCCATATTTCTTGATGCTTCTATATTGGAGCGGAGTCTTGAGGTGGGTAGAATATAGTTGTGCAATAATTGGCTGTTGATTGCTGGTGTTGACTTCTTGATGTGTAGTGCCTCGCAAACGTCAAGCCGCCTGCTATCGCTGTATCTATCGATGATTTCTGTGTTGTTTACTAGGATTTCTCTGGCGATGGTTTGGTTATGGGAAGAGATTATATGTTCCTTAATGGAGGGGAGCCCTGTTGCTTATGCATCGTTAAACGCCTAGAAAGAGATGTTGTTGTCTTGCCTATATACTGGGTTTTTTGGAGCTTACAGTCCCCAAGTGGGCATTTGAAGGCATAGACGACGTTAGTCTCTTTTAAAGCGTTCTGTTTTGTGTCTGGAGAGTTTCTCATGAGTAGGCTGGCCGTTTTTCTGGTTTTATAGTAAATCGTCAGTTGTATCCTCTGATTTTTGTCTGTAGGGATAACGTTTCTATTAACAATATCTTTCAGGACCCTTTCCTCCGTTTTATGAGCTGTGGAAAAGAAGTTCCTGTAAAATAGTCTAATAGGGGGTATAGGTGTTGTGTTAGTTGTCTCTTCAGAGGTTGCATGGCTTTTCACTTTCCTTCTTATGATGTCTTCGATGAAACCATTGGAGAAGCCGTTATTGACTAGGACCTGCCTTACCCTACAGAGTTCTTCGTCGACTTGCTTCCATTCTGAGCTGTGGCTGAGAGCACGGTCGACGTATGCGTTAACAACACTCCTCTTGTACCTGTCAGGGCAGTCGCTGTTGGCATTTAGGCACATTCCTATGTTTGTTTCCTTAGTGTAGACACTAAGTAAACAAACTTTCTACACTAAGGAAACAAACATAGGAATGTGCCTAAATGCCAACAGCGACTGCCCTGACAGGTACAAGAGGAGTGTTGTTAACGCATACGTCGACCGTGCTCTCAGCCACAGCTCAGAATGGAAGCAAGTCGACGAAGAACTCTGTAGGGTAAGGCAGGTCCTAGTCAATAACGGCTTCTCCAATGGTTTCATCGAAGACATCATAAGAAGGAAAGTGAAAAGCCATGCAACCTCTGAAGAGACAACTAACACAACACCTATACCCCCTATTAGACTATTTTACAGGAACTTCTTTTCCACAGCTCATAAAACGGAGGAAAGGGTCCTGAAAGATATTGTTAATAGAAACGTTATCCCTACAGACAAAAATCAGAGGATACAACTGACGATTTACTATAAAACCAGAAAAACGGCCAGCCTACTCATGAGAAACTCTCCAGACACAAAACAGAACGCTTTAAAAGAGACTAACGTCGTCTATGCCTTCAAATGCCCACTTGGGGACTGTAAGCTCCAAAAAACCCAGTATATAGGCAAGACAACAACATCTCTTTCTAGGCGTTTAACGATGCATAAGCAACAGGGCTCCCCTCCATTAAGGAACATATAATCTCTTCCCATAACCAAACCATCGCCAGAGAAATCCTAGTAAACAACACAGAAATCATCGATAGATACAGTGATAGCAGGCGGCTTGACGTTTGCGAGGCACTACACATCAAGAAGTCAACACCAGCAATCAACAGCCAATTATTGCACAACTATATTCTACCCACCTCAAGACTCCGCTCCAGTATAGAAGCATCAAGAAATATGGACCAATAGGCTTTCTACAAACACTTCTATTCAATACCCATTGTTTCTGTTCTGTCTTGTGTTGATACTTTTAATACCCTATTAATATCCCCTCTTGTTCTGTCTTGTGTTAATGCCACATCACCCCTCCCACCTCACTCAAATGTAGATATAAAATCAGAGATACGTAAGTTCTAATCAGTTGTGTATTTGTGAAGTCTTTGAAAATGTAATAAGTTTTACAAAACGCGCCCGTGTCGCGTCAGACTAGAAATAAAAATGAATTTTGGAGAAGTGATTTTTGATTTACCTCCAACAGTGAAGCGTAATGTACGAAAGATTGAGAAAATTCGTGTTAGAATTATTAATCTTACTTTTTCGGTCATATTTAATAATATATGTCTACAGGAAAGACTGCTACCAAAATATACTATATATATATATATATATATATATATATATATATATATATATATATATATATATATATATATATATATATATATATATATATATATGTCGTACCTAGTAGCCAGAACACACTTCTCAGCCTACTATGCAAGGCCTGATTTGCCTAATAAGCCAAGTTTTCCCGAATTAATATATTTTCTCTAATTTTTTTCTTATGAAATGATAAAGCTGCCCATTTCATTATGTATGACGTCAATTTTTTTTAATTGGAGTTAAAATTAACGTAGATATATGACCGAACCTAACCAATCCTACCTAACCTAACCTAACCTATCTTTATAGGTTAGGTTAGGTTAGGTAGCCGAAAAAGTTAGGTTAAATTAGGCAGGTTAGGTAGTCGAAAAACAATTAATTCATGAAAACTTGGCTTATTAGGCAAATCGGGCCTTGCATAGTAGGCAGAGAAGTGCGTTCTGGCTACTAGGTACGACATATATATATATATAATAGTAATACAGTATATAAATTTCTTATATTTCTTCGGCATCTGTGTTTGCTAGTTTAAATATATGTCCGGGTCTCAGGAAATCTTCCCTATCAATTTTATCAATTCCTGTTACTATTTTGTTTGTAGTCATCATATCACCTTTTTTTCTTCTGTCTTCTAGTTTTGGCATATTTAATGCCTCTAACCTCTCCTCATAGCTCTTTCCCTTCAGTTCTGGGAGCCACTTAGTAGCATGTCTTTGCACCTTTACCAGTTTGTTGATGTGCTTCTTAAGATATGGGCACACCACAACCACTGCATATTCTAGCTTTGACCTAACAAAAGTTGTGAACATTTTCTTTAGTATTTCGCCACCCATGTATTTAAAAACAATTCTGAAGTTAGAAAGCGTAGCATAGGCTCCTAGCACAACATTCTTTATGTAATCCTTGTGTGATAGTTTTCTATCTAAAACCACCCTAGATCTCGTTCTTTATCAAAAATCTGTAAAGATTTCTCACATAATTTATAGGTTGTGTGGGGTCTATGTTATCCTATTCCACATTCCATAACATGGCACTTATTCACATTAAATTCCATTTGCCAAGTGGTGCTCCATATACTTATTTTGTCCAGGTCTTCTTGAAGGGCATGACAATCATCTAAGTTTCTTATCCTTCCTATTATCTTAGCATCATCAGCAAACATGTTCATATAATTCTGTATTCCATCTGGTAGATCATTTATGTAGACAATGAACATCACCGATGCAAGAATATAACCCTGTGGTACTCCAATTGTGACGTTTCTCCAGTTCGATACATGCCTCTAATTACTGCCCTCATTTTTCTATGTCAGAAAATTTTTCATCCATGTTAGAAGTTTACCTGTCACCCCTCTAATATTTTCCAGTTTCCAGAACAACCTCTTAGGTGGAACTCTGTCGAAAGCCTTTTTTAGGTCCACTTTCCAATTTCCCCCCAAAAAATTAGGTCCAATTTCCTTAAGTACTTTTGTATTTAATAATACATCTTCAGAAGGATAGATTTACAAGTCAGTAGATTGGATATTTATAGGCAGGAGAGAGGTGAAATGAAGTGAGGTACAATGACAAATATATGAATGGGATTGGGTGGATATAAATAGGAACTGCATTGTATGGGCTAATAGGCCCATACATGGATATTAATATCATAAGATAGTGGATATTAACAAGATATTAGTGATGTATCATATTAGTGACAAATATGTACAGTATCAATGATCCTACTCAAATTGTCCTTTAACTGATCAATTAAAAATGGATCTAAATTATACAAATCACTACTAATGTTCAAATTACATGATTTTGTAATCTGTATTAAAGCAGATTCAATTATGTTCCTATTGAAAGTGATTTTACAATTCGTTATATAAGAAGCCATCTCCCAATCAATTTGGTGAGAATTGTCTGAGAAATGAACAAACAAAGCATTAGACAATTGGCTGTGTCTTACAGAGTATTTATGTTGCAAATTTCTACATTTCAAATCTTTAGATGTTTGCCCATCATAGAACTTATTACAGTCCTTACAAGGTATTTTATAAATGACAATTATCACTACGAGGACTGTTTCTATATGCAGGCGATGAGTCACAATATTATTTAGACTATTAGTTAGACTGTTTCTAACTAATAGTTTTCCAACAGTATTTTCGTAATTAAACAATACATGTACTGTATATAAAAAAGTTTCAAGGCCTTGACAATATTTTCAAACACAGAAAAATATGGTAAACATACACATTCTTTGGGCGAATTTTCTCACTGCATATACAGTATTATTATAATATGTACGAAGTGCTTTGCTATGGCAAACTTCCAAAAAAATCAGCAGATAATAAAGCTTGAGACCAATAGAATAAAATCTTCTTAAAATCTTCTTCTAAGAGCTTTGGACTAACAACCCGAAGAGCTCTTGGATAAATAGAGGAGAAAATATATATACGGTACTGTATATATCTATACAGTATATCCATATTTTTCCTGAAACCAAACAATTTAGTGGTCTTTTAAAACCAAAGAAGACTAGAACAAATCCACAAGCGCCGTGACAATCCGAGACAAAAAATATAAAATTACAGGTACCTGTATATGTTTATTATTATTATTATTATTATTATTATTATTATTATTATTATTATTTTTTTTTTTTTTTTGGTGTAGAAGCCAAAATGTTGCTTTGATTTTTCAGTGAGTTGAGTAATCTTTGTAATTTTGAATAAATAAATAAAAATAAATAAGGCTTTGATGTATGTCTTGATTGATACATTGTACTGGTAATATCACTCAAGTGCTGGTAAATATAAGTTTTACAAAACAATTAAATGTAATGAGAAAAGTGAAGTATGCTGCACTGGTGTATTCTGGGTGCAACATAATTAGACAGGCTTTGTACAATTTCCTGTGTTTTACAGCACACACTTGGTGGTGATGGCCATGACCTCCAGTCCCATGACAAGGTGAGTGAGACTTGTGAGTTCATTGCTTATGTGCAGCTTGTGGCTTAGTAACTGTTTAAGTGTTCAAAGTGATTTACTGAGCAACTGCAATTTTCCCAGATTGCAGCTTGAGTTCGTGAAGGGAATGAAGAGGAGTGGGTTATAAGAGTACGAGACAATGGAAAAGGGGTGTGAATATGAAAGGACATATTGTGCTATATTTTGCTCTCTTAGATTCAACACACACCAAGAGAGATTGTTCCTGCCACTCCCTCTAATGGGAAATGATTCCTTGGATGTAAACAGTAATTTAATTAATATATCTGCCTGTTGTTATGCATTAATTTTTCAATATATTTCTTTTAGTAGTATTAGTGTTTTGTTTAGCACTTAAAGTTGTCCGTTTTGTAAGTAGTGTTTAGAGCAAACCCCCATTAGTGTTATGTATAATGCTTATTTCCAATTGAGTATTGAATTCTGTGTCTGCCCTGTTGATTTATTATTTGTAGCAAATAAAATTGACTGGTAATATTTACCTTATATTTGTACATTTAGACACTCATTGATGCTGATGGCTATGACATGTGGGAGCTTAGGAAGGTGAGTTATTATGACAATTTCTCCACTCTGTAAATGCATTTGCCTTTCATTGTTGATTTATTAATATAATATATTTCTTGTCCAATGTTTCCCCCTAATATACATCCTTCACTTATCCACAGCTTAATGGAAAGTCATGTCGTTTACAATTGAATTTGTTAAATAGCACTTCAGTTACATAATGCACCCCTGGATTACAAACAATTTAATTTTATTTTCACTTTTTACTTACATTATTCTTATTAAAATTTAATTGAGCTTTTGTATAATTGTCATAAGTCCACTTTATTTACATTGGTTAAGAATGATTCTTCTACGTATTTCAAGACAAATACTATGAATCATTTCATCAGTATTTGATATTGTTCTCACAAATGGCTGGTGCATAAGATGAAAAGGCATATTTGGGGTAACTTTTGGAAAAAGCTGAACTGAGTACAGGAGAACCTAACAGTTGGTACTGTACTCATAACCATAAGCACAGTCAGAGAAGTAATGTTGGACGGAAGAGATGTAGCAAAAGAAGTTTTCTGTTAATGTTGCTTTTCATAATGAGTGAGAATGATCTAGCCAGGGGGAGGGGTGCATTTTAATGTTTATGCAGAGTAACACTGAGGAGGACTGCTGAAGGAATATCTTGCCAAATTACAGGAATGAGTAAACAAAATGGCAGGTTGAGTTCAACCTCAGGAAGTAAATGTTATTGAAAATAGGAAAAGGTAACAGAAGACTAGGAGAAATGTTCACCATATAACAGGTTGGCAACTGTAGGAATAAAAAAAATGAATAAAGACATGGGAATGGATATAATACCAACCCTAACTGGAGGTCTACACATCCAGGATATCAGCAGCAACACTTGGAAAGCTGGGAAATATGAAAGCATTTTAAAACCTATCCAAGAAATCATTCAAGTCAATTTGCACAGCTTACATATGATCAGTATTGGCAAATCTGCAATTATGAATGAGTAACGTTTTGAAACTGTGTTTGTAAAGCATTTATTCGGAACGCGGATCAAGATTTTCCATAGGTGCAATGCTGTAAGTAGGAGATGCATTCCCAGGCCACCAAAAATCCTCACAAAACCAATATTTTAAGGACACATATGACAAACCACAACATTATTTATCTTGAATGATGGCATTATCCTGCTCTTCTAAGTTAGCTGTTTTTGAAGAGTGAAGTGGTACAATTACATAAATAAATAAATAAAAAGACATGTGCACTGTATTGGTGGTCGCCATTTTGTAATTGGCCTCGGGAGTAAATGCCTCCCCACCCTCCTCCTATCTCCTGCCTAGGGCTCCACCCCACCAACAGAGTAAACACGATCAAATCATGTGAGTGTGGGTCATTGAGGACTTGAGACCACTAGTGGAAGTGTATCACACATACCCAGCCCCACACATACTCCCCCATGCATCCCTCCCACCTCCCCTACCCTCCATAACAAAGTCTTTATATGTTATCATGTGATGTTTATGTTATTGTATATTGTTCATGTTATACTGTATATGATGGCCTGGGGACATTTCTTGACTGGCAGTGATTGAAACATAACTAGTAAGCTTTTAGACATTACAAGAATGCTCTTTTATCTGTGGTCTTTGTAATAATTGTAATGGCTTATTGTAATTTGCCCAATCTTGCCCATCCTTTACCTTTTCCTTCTAAATAAATATTCCCTTTTTACCGCTACTTAATCCCAGTTTAATTTTCTTGTTGGTTCCATTCACAGCTGGTTGGAAGTGACAACCATGATAAGAGGCCACACAAGAAGGTATGTTTAGTGAGACTTGTTAAGTACTTGGTTAAAGTGTTATACTGTACAATATATATTATTGTTTATACACTCTACTGTATATTGATTATACACCAAACATCGAGAGGGCTGAACACCATAGCGGTTTGGTCTTTCTCTGCATGCCAGAATGGATATGGTCTGCCCCAAGAAGGGCAGACCACTTAGTGACGCATAAAACTAGCATTGAATGTAAAGTCGCCTCGGAGGGTTTGGGTCACTCGGGGGTTCCACTATTGCGCTCCATTCGGACTGCTCTCCAGTAGTTTATTGTCTGAACTGCAGGGCTCTCGTCGGTCCTTGGTTCTATGGGGCTGGTCACTTTGAGTGACTCGTCTGCTGGATTCTCGGGGTTTGACTTTCAATTCGGTTCATATCCAGGGAGTGTCCAATATCCATGCGGACAGCCTGTCACAGTTCATTCCTTTATCCACGGAATGGACGGTCAGTGTTGGCTCTGACAGTCGTATGGGCTTCCGGAGGTGGACCTATTCGCATCAGTGTGGTCTCGGTGTCTCCAGATACAGCATATGTGCCCGCCTTCCCCGATTGCAGAGCCATCGCGGTGGATGACTTTCGGCCGGACTGGTCGAGGTGGGTTTACCTACACCTCTTACCCCCGGTCCAGCTGTTGCTTTGGGTCCTAGCCTGGTTGGAGACTTACAGTGGGAGAGTCGAGAGTCGTCCTGGTGGCCCCTTGGTGGCAAGCCCAGCTTTGGTTTCTAGCACTGCTTGCTCTGTGTCTGAACCGGTGGCATTTTCCATGGCTCTGCCTCGTGTCAGCAGATTGGACCAGCCCGGTACATGGCTGGTTTGTTTACTCCTCTGCTCTTCACGTCTGGTCTCTTTGACATGAGAGTATCACCACTTGTATGGTGATCAGGTGGCTTCATTGATGCTGTCTCACCTGTGAGCTTTGTCTCGGCAACAGTATGAAGTCTCCTGGCGATCTTTTTGCCATTTTCTGTCTCTTCGTAGGTTGTCTTTTATTTCTAATCGGGTTGTTTTGTCCTTTCTTGGCTTTTTCGGGATCATCATTTGATGCCGAATAATATCGCCTCGTATCGTGTGGCACTGGCATAGCCGCTTCAGCTTGTGTTCAGGTGGATGTCACTTCCACCCCGTTCTGTAAGCTTTTTCGTGCTTTGTTTCACCTCTGGCCTGCTCATACACCGCCTGAACCATCCTGGTTTTTATTCAGGGTGCTCTCTTTTCTCTCTTTCCCTCGGTTTGTGGTGGCTGCTTTGGTTCAAGATAGTTTTTCCAGGGCTCTACTGTCTACACTTGATTATCCGATCTATATGGGAAGGACCCCTCAACCGGATAATCACGTTTTCTGAATAAGAGTACTTTTTCACCTATGAGTCCAAAACTAACCATTTCCAACTATTTTTATACTACAAACAACATAATTTGAAGTGCCATGCCACATATAATTATTAAATATTCAACTAGAAACCTCAACTTACCTTGTTGTTGTTCGTCTTCTTGATTGATGACACACATCTTGAAGTTAAAAATTCTTGACAATTTACGTAACTTATAGTAACACAACACTAAAATTAACACTTAAAATTGCTGTACAGTTCATTAGGCAAAGTTAGTTTTCACTGTCAGCTGAGGAAGCCTCACTTGTTGAAGGCACTTGGGTTGCGTGTGCCGCCTCACTTGTTGAAGGTGCTTGGGTTGCGTGTGCCGCCTCACTTGTTGAAGGCGCTTGGGTTGCGTGTGCCGCCTCACTTGTTGAAGGCGCTTGGTTTGATTTTCGTACCATATAAGAATCAAGTGTTGCTTGCCTTCTGTGTTCACTGGCCAGTTGTATGATCAGCTCTTTGTTCGAGTAAGGTACAGATACATGTTTCCAACCTCTGTTATCTTACGTTATCCAACGTTATCTTACCATCATGTGAGGTTAACGTGTCAATTTTGGGGTGGGCAGGCGCATTATCAGGCAACAGTAAAGCCCGAACTTCGCTTGGCCTTATTTTGAGTTTCTTAATTTGATAGGCACGAACTTCCCTGCAGAACACGTCATGAAACCAGGAAAGAAAGATCTCCTGTGTAAACCATGCATTTTTTGAGTTATAATATTTCACTGGCAGTCTGTCCATGCAATGTTGCAAGGCTCTTGGTTTCTTAGATTTGCCGACAATTGCACACGTGATTCTGTCTGTGCCGTCGACATTCGCACACATCATGGCCGAGAGCCTATCCTTGCAAACCTTATGTCCTGGCACACAACCCTCACTCCTCATTGCTAGAGTTTTTTCTGGTAAACTCCTCCAATACAACCCAGTTTCATCTGCATTATAAATTTGATACGAATATATATTATTTGCCACAATATATTCTCGTAATTTATGTTTAAATGGTTCTACACTGCTTTCATATGCACTCAATTTTTCACCAACAATTTTCCTCTTCACAATATTGTGCCTACCCTTTAACCTTGCAACCCACCCTTCACTTGCTTTGAAATTCTTTATTCCAAGGCTTGCAGCAAACCTGCTTGCAGCATTTTGTATTTCTGGGCCGCGAATTGTCACGCCAGCTGTGCGGTGCTGAGCAAACCACGTGTACACAGCCTCATCCAACTGCACATGCATCGAAGTTTTCATAGTTTTTCTACCACAACCCCTGCTAGTGCTTGCACCTTCACTTTCACAGGTTGAAATGAATTGCATAAGTTTCTCTTTTTGTTTCCTTATATCAGAAACAGTACTAGTGCCTATATTAAATTCCTTGGCAACACTTGAGGTCGACCGGCCATGTTCACAAAGTTGTATAACACGTAGCTTGTCCTTAAGTGTTAGAACAACCTTCTTCCTCTTACCACCTCCAGAACGATTCATGCTGCTACCAGAAGTCTTGGCCAAAAATGCTCAAAGTTACTATGAAAATAAAAAAGTTATTTAAAAAAATATTTCACTAATGGCGCGGCACTGTGGTGTAACACGAGGGTAGAGAGAGGGTAGAGGGTAGGTATCTTGTGCAGAACATAAATGGTTGTGTGCATTTCCTTTCCCCTAATGCTTCTGTTCACCTAGCAGTAAATAGGTACCCAGGAGTTTGTCAACTGTTGTGGATTGATCCTGGAGAGGATTAGTAGTTCGTCCTTGGGGGGGGGGGGGAGGGGGACCATGATATGAGCCTAATGGGTATGTATGCTACCCAGGCTACTTGTCTGTAACAAAATTAATTATTATCGTTAGTATTATGAAATGCACTTTATTTCATCATCACGTATATATTCATCTTGTATAATAGTGTTGCCTTTTTTTCTCTCTGCAGCGGATGTTTGGTCAGGGAAATCATGACTACAAGAAGCATGGCAAGGTAAATATTGCTTTCATATTTAATATAATATTCATTAACAACCTCTTAGAAAATACTTTTATATTAGAAATATTCATATGTGGTGAAAAAACTGAAAAATAGTATACATCACAGTACTCCTGACCCTGACCCATTAGAGTAAAATATATACACCCAACCAATAAATAAAAATAATTCAGACTGGTGATATGAATTATTTAAGAGAAGCATGTGATTTAAATATATGGGGGATAAGAGATAGCAAAACTGTGTGGAAGAAGTGGTGAGAGAACAATAATACAGTAATGTGAAGTGTGTAGTGTATCACAGGGACAGGTTGATACCATATAGACTACTGTACAAGAATTGAGCACAAGGAACCGGGTGGGGAGTAAGTTTATCGGGTTTCCACTAATCATTGTGGAAAGGGAAAGTGGATGAATATTGTATAGATCACATGTTGGCTTAATGGGATTAAAAGAGACTAGGAAACTGTTTAGATAAGTCTGTTTGGAGATTTTTCTGTGATTGCCAAAACCTTGCAACAGGGTACAGTCATTTTAGTTTTTCTTTATATAGGTCTTTGATTCCTTGAAGGTGAAAAAAAGACCCAATATAAAGTACTGTATGTGTAAGTGTACTGAAAACAAAATCTAAAATTCAAAAGACAGCAAATAGGATGCTAGGTTTCATAACAAGAAGTGTTAGCGATAAGATATCTCGTGTAATCAATCTAGCCCTACTTAATGCATCAGCCCTTCCCTCAATAGTAGGGCATCTCCCCTTCCCCCATAGTAGTCATCTCCTCTTCCTATTATAGTAGGGCATCTTCCCTTCTCCCTGTAGTAGAGCATCTCGCCCTCCCCCATGGTAGTCATCTCCCATTTCCCCGATGGTAGTGCTTTTTTCCTTTCCCGATGATAGTACATCTCCCCCTTCCCTCATGGTAGTGCATCTATAACTGTAGTGAGTTGTATAAACCACTGATAAATACACTGTATAAACAACTGTATAAACCACTAATAAACCATTTTAAATTTGAATAGTGAATATACAGTATATAATTATAATGATTGCATTATGCTATTTACTATAACTTTTTCTTGCATAAATAATGTACAGAATTTTAGGTTATTTATAACTCAATTATAAATATGCAACCATTTATGATAGAGCTTTTATTTATTAAATATTTTTCTATTACTAATTTAATTTTAATTTCTAAAAGATTTTAATGCCTCACACTCATATTTGTGTAACTGTTGTAGAAATGTCTAATCATAGTCTAATCAAATCATTTCATATCATTAATAGTCATAGAATCTTCATACAAATATTAGATTTTGTTATGATAGTACATAGAAGCAGAAATTAACCACATATACATCTGCAAACAGAAAATGGGAGGTGGTGTCCACGATTTAACTCATATTGGAGTTTTTAAAAACTTCATGAAGCAGCACAACAAGGCATACAAGAGCCAGGCTGAATTTAAAAAAAGGTTCAACATTTTCCGTCAGAACATGAAAAAGGTCCATATTCTGCAGCAGAATGAACGAGGCTCAGCAAAGTATGGCCCCACCAAATTTGCCGATCTGACTGGTAAGGTACTCCGGCACTTATGATAACAAAAAAATTTTTTTTTAGTAAGTTGATGAATATTATTTTCTGAAATATTGTATACAGTGCACCTTCAAAAGTCTGAATCATATTGTTCCAGACTCAGTCTGGATTCATAATAAATCCTAAATTTGTTTACTATCCTAAAATGTTTACTTTTCTGGGGGGAGCTCCGTCTGCTCCTTGGAGCTATCCAGGCTGATATGCTAATGTCAGACTTTGACATCCGTCATGTGTATGGAGTTCTGTGGGCTTTTCGGGGACCACGAGCCAGAACCTGAATGGTCCACATTCCTGGGGCTCCCTCTTTTCCCTCCCGGGGGGGTTGCACAGACAAGCGGCCTATGGTATTTTTGACTCAGAGTCTATCATCATCTCTATAATGATCAGGTGGCTTCGTTGTTGGTGTCCCACCTGCGGGCTTCGTCTAGGCAGCAGTGTGAAGTCTCTTGGCAGTCCTTCCATTTCTTTCTTAGGCTTCGCAGGGTTATTTCGCTGTTGGTTAAGGTTGTCTTGCCCTTTCTTGGTTGTTCCAGGACCGTCGTCTTGTGCCGAATACTGTTGCCTCCTATTGTGCCGTTCTGGCGGAGCCGCTGCAGCTTGCTTTCGCTTTTGATGTTACTTCTGCACCGTTTCGCAAGCTGTCTCGTTTGTTGTTTCAATCCCCAACCTGCTCATGCTCCACTTGAACTGTCCTGGTCGCTTGACAGGGTGCTCTCTTATCTCTCTCTACTCCTTGGTTTGCACTGGCCCCTTCGGTTCAGGACTGTTTCTCTAAAGCTCTTTTCTTGTTAGCATTGGCCTTTGGGGGTCGGGTTGGGGAGCTTCATGTTCTTCTCCGGCGCAGGGGTTTCTGCTCGTTTGGTCCTGGCGGTAGGTTTGTTCGTTTACAGCCGTCTCCTCCTTTCTGGCGAAGATTGAGACTGCTGCTTTCCAGAGGGATCCTTTGGTTGTTGATGCTTGGTTCGTCAGGCAGAGGGTGCATGATGTGTTGTGTCCAGTTGCGGCTCTTCGTCATTATTTGCGCGCCACGGACTCTATTAGCTATTAGTCTGGGGGCTTCAGTCATTTTGTCTATTGTGTTTGGTCCATGCAGGAATATCCCTAAAAAAAAAACTTATTGTAACAGCATATGAAGGAGCCAACAAAAGAAAGAAAGAAAGAGGAAGGGATTCACCTGCTGGTGTTTATGCATAATGAAGATGATGTAAAGCATTTAAAATATGAGGTGCCACTGGAGGCAGCGACCTCTACGTTATTGTATTTAATTGTATTGCAGAACTGAGAGAGAGAATTGGATCAGGAAACAGAATAACGAGAATAAGAGAATACAGAAGAGGGGATTATAGAAGTGTTAGGGCTTATTTACAGGATGTTCAATGGAAAATTTAAATGGGAGGAAGTTAGAAAATAAGATGAGGATATTCATAACACAGAATTGCATAGAGACTGCAGAGCAATTCGTGCCTCTCATGAGGAAAGTGAACATAAGAAGAACAGCAAACCTATGGTTGAGCAGACAGTATAAGAAGGAAAAGGAGAAGATGGAAGTGCATTGGAGAAAGTATATAGACATGGTTACAAAGGCAAATAGGGATGTGCTTACAAGAGCCATAATTGAGTACAGTATACCAGAATCAGGAGGGTAGCAGAACAGCAGGTAGAGAATGATATTATGAGAGAAACAAAGAATAAAGTTAAGCTGTTGCATAGCCATATAGAGAGGAAAACAACAATACGAGATCATATGTTCAGACAGCGGTAACAGGGAGGAACACACTTGGAGAATGATAAAGAAGTATGTGAAGAACTCGACAAGAGGCTCCATGAGGTCTACAAACAGAGAACTGATTGGTGTCCATGGAGAGATGACAACAGATGACCAGAAACAACAATAGACAGAATTGAGGTTACTGTAGAAGAGATAAAACCCAGGATTGAATGTACTGTAATGAAATTCCTCCTCCTCGTGAAGGTCCAGTGGTTCCCTTAACCCTTTAACTGCGCAACGCGCTTGCAGGCCCACGTCTGGGGTGCGCTACGCGCCTCTGGGCATTTGTATTTATACGTTCCATTCAAAACTCTCGTGGCTACACGGGGTTCACATCGGCTTCCTCAGGGCTCTTGTAAACAGACGCCATCTTTAAAAAAAATCGTGGTCCACATTCCCGGATGTGAGAGCCTCAGTAGTGAGTGAGCAACCAAGGCTGGCGCTCGCAGCATAAGCGCACAGCACTGCTGTTCAGCGTGTGACCACAGCATTGCCTAATAATGTCAAAATATATATATAACCTGTATTATTTAGCCATGATAGTATTACAGAAGAGCCTGAGTGTGATAATGACTGGGTACAATGTTCAGATATCAGTGATTCAATGCTGTTCATGATGTTGACAGTGCTAGCCACAGCACTATAGCATTATTTCGTCCATCTAGGAATCTTCAAATGACTTTTTAGGTTCCTTTTCAAAATAAACTTGAGGTCAATTATTCATTTACAGGAATTAGTGACCAGGATTGTGGTTATAATTAGCGTTGTGCGTAGTATTGTGGAAGGAGGAATTTTGGTGAGGGAGAGAGGGAGAGAATTGAGGTAGTCTCACTATGTGTGGCAGCCACTCTTGTTTTGCTCACCATACTAGCTTCGTGGTTCACTATGGAGAACACATATGTACATGGGTATATACAGTGTGTGTGTATAGTAATAACAGCAACAGGAGTATGTTGAGAGGAGCTATTTTGGTGAGGGAGATGACCTTGTAATCGTAGTGTCGTCTGCTGTCTGTTGTGTGATTTCTCGTGCAGTGTATGGTGGCCACTGTACTGTTTGGACACAATACCGGCTTACTTGCATAGTTCTGGTAAATAAAACATGTAGATAGGTATATATAACATGTGTAAATAGTGTAATAAAAACAATAACAGTGTGGTGGGAGGAGCAATGTTGGCGAGTAAGATGTTGGAGTGAAGGAGGGCTGGCTGGGTGTGGCTGCTCACACTCGCGGTGTTCTGAATGTGTTGATGGTGAATGTATATAATGTGTGACAGTGTATAGTGTGTACATATGTTGTAAATATATGTAAATGAACATGAAACATTAGTGTGAATAACTGTATGATGGGAGAAGCAATGTTGGAGGAGTGAGGGAGGGCTGGCTGGGTGTGGCTGCTCACAATCACGGTGTTCTGAATGAGTTGATGGTGAATGTATATAGTGTGTGACAGTGTATAGTGTGTACATATGTTGTAAATATACATAAATGAACATGAAACATTGGTGTGAATAACTGTATGATTGGAGGAGCAATGTTGGCGAATACAATATTGGAGGAGTGAGGGAGGGCTGGCTGGGTGTGACAGCTCACACTCGCGGTGTTCTGAATGTGTTGATGGTGAATGTATATAGTGTGTGACAGTGTATAGTCTGTAAATAGATTGTATATATACATAAATTAGCATGGTACATGGTAAATATGTGCAACATATGTGTACACAAGTGTCATGCTGCCTGGATCAATAACACCTACAACATTTGAGTCATATGAGGTTTGTTTTTGCTGGGTCTTTACCCATTCTGATTCACTATCAGGTTAGAAGGTTTTCAGGCAACTGCAGTTTTGCAAACTAGGTTTACTAGAGTTAGGCGTTTGTGGCATATTGAATGTCTGGATATAAATATTTTTTGCAACATTGCATTGTGCTTGAGAGTTATTATTTAGACTTTAATTCAGGCTGGTGCAGTCAACATACATGATATTCCTCTTGTATTCATGAAGTGTTATTTGCAGAGCAAGAGTTCCGCAAGATGCTAGGCTTACGTCATGACTTGAAGCCTGAGTTATCATCGATGAGACCAGCTGTCATTCCTGAAGACATTGAATTACCAAATGAATATGATTGGAGGAGCCAAGGTGTTGTTACACCTGTAAAAAACCAGGTAAGCTGAAACAGCCATTACAATATATTAATCTAATACTATCCTTGTTATTCTGTTTACTTTCTTACCAGGTAATTAGGTGTGAAAATATGCAGTTTAACATACAATTGAATTCCTGCTCCTTAACCTTCTGGCTGCATGGTACTTAAATGTGCTCAGACTGTGCATCACATCATATGATACACAGAGAAATCACATTTAACGTGATACGGTATATCAAAGAACAAATCCAAAACAAATTAACAGTTGTCTAGAGCACATCGGGGAACACTTGGCGCATAGGTTCGAAACCTCATCAAGGCTGCTGTGGATTTGTTGATCAAATGATGTAGCAGGGAACTATCTAAAATTTAAAAGTCATAGACTTACATGGGGCTCACAGTTGCTTCCTCAGGCCTTCAGTAACACAACCCCTATTTTGAGAAAAAGTCCTGAGTCCCTCACTTTCCTTCTAGGGCCTTAGTAAAAACACTGAAGAGCATATCTGGCAACATAACCATCCTGTGTGTGTGCATGCAGGGCGGCCATACTAGGAGCCACTGAACTTTTATCAATAGCAAACGAGTGATTACCATTATATATTTCAGGCAAAATGTGTGTCATGTCCAATTATATGATTTAGACATATATTTAGGCCTATATACAGTATATTATTATGAATAAATACTAGGTGTGCATATATTTATACACATACATCTGTACATACCTATATTTTAAAAGTTATACCACTGAACCCCATCTTTGACACATCAGAACAAATTTTTAGAACCAAAAAACTATGTAAATAAAGTGAGAAACAATAGAAATAAATTGACAAAGTTATTCCCATGTGGCACTTCACCTCATTTCCACTAAAAAAACACAACTTCTCCAGCCCACTGCAGCTAAACCATAAGAGATAGAAACTTTTTCATTTGGACTTTTTTTCCTTCGTGGATGCTAAAAAAAAAAAAAATTTGAGAACAATTTATTTTATGCACACCCAAGTGTTGCATGCTAAAATTGCTTGAGCAGCTGAAGGGCTAACAAAGGGAACCAAGTCTCTCTATGTACTGGTTATTTACCACTACGTATTTGTATTATTTGATTTACCCATTTTATCTGTTATATTATTATCTGTTATCTGATGTTATTTATTCTTCCATCTTCAAAGGAAGTTTCTCACTTTTATAAGTGACTGGTTAATTTAAATACAGTACTTAGGATGTGTGACTGATAGAGGAGAAGTTTGTACAAACAAGTTTGAAAGTAGGGTTAGTTAAAGATGGAAAGTTGCTGGTGCAGTGAAGGCTCTGGTAAGAAAATAAGAGTGGGAGTCCTGACTCTTAAGTATGGGTGCTAGACAAAGCTATGGTATGAATATGAAGCATCAAGAATTAGAGCAGTAGAAATGAGAAGAATGTGCAGTGTTTGGAGGATATAGCTACAGGAAGGGAAGGGAATTATCAGGCAAAAGTGCCATGCCATTATGACTATATATGTTATACTCAAATTCTGTCAGTTGAAATGTAACCAATCACAGGCAAGTAATGGACTAGCTGAACGTACTAACAGGAAAGTGTTAGATGCCTTGAGAGTCACGTTGAATTTTGATAACAACAATTGGGATGATTTTATACCCTTAATTCAGTGTGCTATAAATTCTTCAATTAATGTTTCTACTGGTGACACACCTCACGCTATTCTTTATGGTACAGATAAGATCCTCCCTAATGAATTGATTAACGTACCTCCTACTCCCTTATATAACGTAGATGATTTTGTTCAAGTGAAGCGTAGACAAATGCAACTAGTATTCAAGAAAATACGAGAACAACTGTCCAAAGCAACAGCCGAGTTCACTCTAGCAAGGAATGCACGAGCTAAACCCAGTAAAATAACTATTGGATCTGTAGTAATGATACTTAACCAACACAGGTCTGGTCCTATGTACAAGTTAACTAAGAAATTTTTGGGTCCATATAAGGTAATCGAGCTTATTAAAGGTAACAAATACAGACTTAAGAACTTGTTAACAGGAGAGTATATAAATGAACATTTAGACCACATGAAGTTAGCTAAAATGACTGTTGACGAGACTGATGAGGAAGATGACAATGAACTTACCCAGACAGATACTCCTACTCGGACACCACCTTCTGTGGTTGACAGACCACTTGATGTTCAGCAACCCCATACTAGCAATTATAATCTTAGATCTAGACCTCTCGTTTCAACAGTGCACTCACCACATGTCCATTGGCTAGATGTTAACGAGGATATCTCTCAAGATGATAGTTTGTCGCATGAAGTTTCATCTGTTCCGGACCTTCAGTCAGAGCCAGAGTTGTATAGTGCTCTGGATGAGCTAGGTGTAGATATCCGCAGAATTTATAATTGAATGCACTCTGCAGTTATTCTGTTTGTTTTGAAAAAAAAAAAAAAACTCATTTGCAGTATTTCTACCACATGTGTCTTATTATTACCATTATATATAATGTATAGTTTTTCTCAACTTTATTTTGTTATGAATTAGATGCCATTGTTAAGTCTACCACCATTTGTATTTTTACAGTGCTTGTCATAAGAGTTATTATTGTTCTAGCAACCACATTGAGGCCAGTGAATCCTGACTGCTATCACGCAGATGTTAGTCTTCTTGATCCAGGTCTTGTATATGCTTGTAAATATATTGCACATTATATATATTGTACATTGGTCTTGTAAATATATTGTATTATTTCAGAAAAAAAAAGAGAAAAAAAAAAAAAAAAAATCATTATCTATCTTGAAATTCAATTGTGGTTGTTAGGTCAGAACTTTGTTCCATTAATGTAATAATTGTTTAATTTTGTATGGTTTTCAAGCACATGCCATTGACACATGTTAATAATTTTGTTTAGGCAATACCTTGAGTTGTATTGTTCATATCTGATCAGTAGACATACACATGTTCTTAATACTCTGGTTTATTCAAAGCATTGTTACCATGATTTTCACCTATTATGATGAATTTTTTTTTTGGTGCATATATGCCGAGTTGTTTGTATTACGCACACCTGATCTTCTTTCAATGTTTTATTATGCAAATTTCACATGTAAGCCATTATTGTATGCCACCGAGGTCCTTTCAGTATCATTGTAACTATATAGCTAGCCAGAGCTTGTCGACAAGGGACGTCGACTTGGTAGCGTGTCCGAGCGGTGTTATACTCAAATTCTGTCAGTTGAAATGTAACCAATCACAGGCAAGTAGGCCTCTGACGTCATGCCAGACAGAGGAGCATCAGGCATGCTCCCAGCAGCCTCAGTTATCCTCACAGACTCAGAGTAGAAGGACCTCGGCTAGGCAGATATATACCTTGCTATCTCAGTCAATAAATATATACAGAAGCGACTACTGTGTCTACATTCTACCCGAACAAGGCAAACGAATATATAGCATTGGGAAGGGGTTAGGATAAGGGTTTGGGTTGGAACGGGGGTAAGGAATGGTGTCCACCCACTTGGACGGTCGGGAATTGAATGCCGACCTGCATGAAGTGAGACCGTCGCTCTACCGTCCAGTCCAAGTAGAGGAGCGATAATATCAGAGGGATATGAAGATCAAAAGTAGATAAACTGCAAGATTGAGACCTATGTTCCAAGATGATTTTGAGCTTGTTGAATCAAAATGCTGATGTACAGTGGTGGAAAGAGTGAATTCCAAGGAATTGAAGGGTAGAAGAAGAGCATGGCTGATGAGGTGGGCTGGCATGGCAAGTGTGTAATGAAGCTGTGATTTAGTATCAAATGTACATGGAATATGGTAAGGAACAAGGCTGGGTGAAAGTAGTTTGTAAAACAAGTGAATGTATTTAAATTATTTGTAATGCATAAGGCAATTCATAAATAGCACTGGTCTATGAAGGGGGGGGGTTATTGTTAGGGATGACTGCTGGTGTGTGGCGGTGCTTGTTAAAGATCATAAGGCTATAAAACAGTGTGAATGGACAAGTGATAATTTTGCATAAATGTTGCAAATATGACCTGCAGATTTGTTCCAAACTTAATACAAAAAATAAGCATGCATACATACATACATGTATATGTATGTATGTATGTATGTAATGTAATGTAATGTAATGTAATGTAATGTATAGGAGAGCAGGCCTAACAATGATTAATACCTACTTTAGCAACTCATCTCTAATATATTGTTTTCTTTCTTCTTTGAAGGGAATGTGTGGATCATGTTGGGCATTCTCTGTCACTGGCAATGTGGAGGGCCAGTGGGCAATCAGACACAAAAATTTGATTTCTCTGTCAGAACAAGGTACAGTGATTCAAATGGACTTTTATAATTTTTTGCTTTTTCCAGAACGTTAAAATATAGGGTTAGCTCCCAGCCTCAGCATCTGTTAGTCTTGTTTTAATGGCTGACAATAGAGGCTCTCGAAGTATAGTTGGCTTCATTCTCGAGTCCCAGTCTTGGATCCCGGGTTCAAATCCCAGGTGGCACAGAAATGGTTGGGCATATTTCCTTTCACCTAATGGCCTGTTTGCCTAGCAGTAAATAGGTACCTGTGAGTTAAGCAACTGTTGTTGGGTTGCATTCTGGGGGAAGGTCAGAAGTTAGACCTTGGGAGGAGAGACCTCAGTACAAGTCTAAAAGTTTATTAAAGTGACTTATAAGGAGTGACTGTAAGAACCTTGATCTCTTGCTGGAGAAAATTGTGGGCTGAATGTGTTGCAGAATGAGACTTTGAGGGGTTTGAGCCTGAACCTGAAGTGCCTCTTGTTAGGAAATTGTTTCTCTGGGCCAGCAATTGGGCTTGGAGTTGGATGGTACTCATCAAATTGTACTCGCCTAATTGTGCTTGCGAGGGTTGAGTTTTGTCTCTTTGGTCCCGCCTCTCAACTGTCAATCAGCTGGTGTACAGATTCCTGAGCCTACTGGGCTCTATCATATCTACATTTGAAACTGTGTATGGAATCAGCCTCCACCACATCATTACTTAATGCATTCCATTTGTTAACTACTCTGACACTGAAAAATGATGCTGATATTGAGGAGTTGGTGAAGGAACACAGCGAAGAACTGACCACCGAAGAACTCCAGGCCCTTCGAAAGGAGCAGCAACAAGAGGTAGCTGAGGAAATTTCTTCAGGGAAGGAGGTGGCAGTAGAGAATGTCCCTTCCTCAACAATTAAGAAAATGTGTGCAGCATGGGAAGAACTGCAAACTTTTGCTGAAACGACTCACCCAAATCAAGCTGCAGTAGGCCGTTGCCTTGACCTTTTCAATGACACTGTGATGCATCACTACAGACAAATGTTAAAATGAAGGGAAAAACAAGTGTCTCTTGACAAATTTTTAGTGAGACAAACAAGCAGGGAACTACAACCAGGTCCTATTGGAATGCAGGCAAAACATAGGAGAGAGAAGTACCCCAGAGAAATTATCACTGCCTGATGTGGTAATGGAAGGGGACTCCCCTTCCAAACAGTAACACCTCTCCTCCTCCCCCTTCATCACCATCTTCCATAAAGGTAAGATAAACATATGTGCTGTATTGTAGTTAGAGAAAAAATTGTATTCAGTATAAAATGTATTTGTAAGTTAATATTTTGGAGGGTAGGTAACAGATTAATTCAATTCCCTTTATTTCTTATGGGAAAAATCGCTTCTACATACGATATTTTGACTTGAGATCCATCTCTGGGAACGGATTACGCAACCCACTCTCGCACAAGACAGTACATATATGACTTATTACTTGTAGTCACTATTTGGCTGATTGGTAAGTACATATGTGGTATATGCCAAGTTATATTTTGTTTTTAAGGTAAAAACTCTTCCTATAGATTTGCTAAACACCAGTTTTCATATTAGGAATTTCTTTTTCAGTTTTATTAAACAATAGAGATTTTATACAATATTTGACAATATCCTGAGTTACTTTACAATTTATTTAAATATTTTGGTTTTGTTTTATTATTTTTATAAAACTGTAATATCAATATGGGTTTAGGTTAAGTAATAATTGTAATAAGAAGCAATAAGGTGCTTATCTTAACATACTAAGAAGGTTAGGTCGACGTTTTCTATTAAGCTTTTCAAGGTAAACTAAAATATTCACAATAAATTAGTATGTCACATATGCACTTATTAATAAGCCAATATTGACTATAAGCAAGTGCGAGAACGGGTTGCAACACCATCATAAATCGAAGCCCCACTGTATGTAAATATGTATGTATATATGTGTGTGTGTATAATAATAATAATAATATATATATATATACACACACATAAGAAAAAATTAGAGAAAATATATTAATTCAGGAAAACTTGGCTTATTAGGCAAATCGAGCCTTGCATAGTAGGCCGAGTATGACGTTCTGACTACTAGGTACAACATATATATATGTTGTACCTAGTAGCCAGAAGACAGTACTCGGCCTACTATGCAAGGCCCGATTTGCCTAATAAGCCAAGTTCTTCTGAATTTTTATATCTTTCTGATTTTTTTCTTATGAAATGAGAAATCTGGTTATTTCATTATGTACAAGTTAATTTGTTTAAATTTAAGTTAAAACTAACATAGATATATGACCAAACCTAACCAACCCTACCTAACCTAACCTATCTAAACCTAACCTAAACTAACACATCTACATCAATAATTTATGTTCCTAATATAATATAATAATAGTAAATAAAATAAACTAGAAACAATTTATTGAAAATAAAAAAAATCACTCGTCCTATTAGGCAAATCGGGCCTTGCATAGTAGGCCAAGAAGTGCGTTCTGGCTACTAGGTACGACATATATATATATATATATATATATAGGGGGTACCACCTCTGGTGCAATTATAGGGACCCACAGCCTCAAAGAAGGGAACACAGAGCATTCAGAGAAAAACTTGCCGTATAACTCTGAATACTATGAGTGTTCGCTTCTCCTACCACCCCACTTTTTTTTATGGTGTACACTTTATTATGCAAGGTTATACAGTTACATATCTGATTTTATACAAAAAATGAACATTAAGAGGACACAAGAAAATGTTCGCTTCCAAGAGGCTGTAGATTTCCTCGAACTCCTCCGACGCCGGGCAGGAACCGAGGATGCAGCGGGAATTTCCCCTCTGGATCGCGACACTGGATCTGTCGCGATCCAGAGATCGTGACACAATATTACAGAATATATATATACAGTATATTATCTATCTCAGGCTTTGTCACCAACAATAGGGATTGTATTGCCTATTAATTGTAAAGTCAAGGGATGTAGAATAGCTTATGAATGTATAGCCAGTTAAACAAACATTTTATATATCATATTTTCTTCTGAAATTGAATTTAAAAATAAATTAAAAATATTACAGAATTTTATTAACAAGTGTATTTCCTGCATGACTTCAGAACTTGTTGACTGTGATACAAGTGACGAGGGCTGTAATGGAGGCATGCCAGAGAATGCATATGATGCAATTCAGAAGCTGGGTGGATTGGAAAGTGAAACTGACTACCCGTATGATGCCAAGGATGAACAATGCCACTTCAACAAGTCTATGGTGAGGATCACTGAAAACTGTTATAATGCAAACTATTTGTTTGTTGAAGCTGTTGCCATAGTATTGTACTGTGTATTAACCACACGTGCAGATCTTGTTGACATGAACTTTAATCTTGGGCAGATGATTGCCTTACAACCACAGTGCATTCAGACAAATTTGACCATAGATCAGTTAATATACATGTATACCTGGCCATTTCTCAAGGTGGTGTTTTTGTTGTCTCATTGGTCCTGGGATATTTTTCTTGAGGTGGTTTTTTTTGTTGTGCCTTGCCTCCAGCTGCTGGATTGGGGGAGCTTAATGCTCTCCTCTGGAGACAGGGTTTTGTTATTTTGGCCCTGGTGGCTGGCTTCTTCATTTGCAACCTTCTTCTTTTCTGGCAAAGAATGAGTCAGTTTACTTCTGGAGGGGTCCCTTGGTGATTGATGGTTTGTTGATCCAGCCTGGGACGCATTATTTTTTGTGTCTGACTCGTTCTGCCTTGGTCCCCTTTTCCAAGCTCGTATTTCTCGGGTTGTCCAAAACATCGTTAATCCACGTACTGTGCATTAGTTTAATATGACAACCATATTGTGCACGTAACAAAATTATTCCCCAAATTTTTATTTGTACACTTAACATTCTCCCATTCGAACATCTCGGTTCCAGTTGTGACTGGATATATATAGTCGTGTTCAGATATTTGGTATAATCCTCCCCCACCCCGGCATGAAAAAAAATTATTTTATGTCCAAAAGTACATAATATATTATTGCTAGATACTTTATACTTTATATTCACTAGACACTTTAAACAAAACACAACAGAATATTGGTAATATACAGTAATAACAATAAATATTACAGTAAAGTACTTAATATGGGTACTCGCCAAGTATTCAGATGTTTCAGCACATATGATCTTGGAATGATGTTTAGGTGAGTATTTTCATGTTTATTTAGAGTGGAGCTGGATGTTGAGAGTTGAGGCTGAGATGTTGAGAATTACATGGAGAAGGAACTCGAGAGGTTTCAGTTTGAGGACTTTTGAAAGCCCTGTCAGTGGTCTCTCGGTGTTAATTGCTTCAAGCTATCTCTTTGCATTTCTGGGGGGTGCCTTTACGGCTCCTCCGGAGCTATCCAGGCTGATATATATCTGGTTGATACCTGGTTGATAGGGTTCTGGGAGTTCTACTCCCCAAGCCCGGCCTGAGGCCAAGCTTGACTTGTGAGAGTTTGGTCTACTAGGCTGTTGCTTGGAGCGGCCGACATACCCACCACAGCCCGGTTGGTCCAGTACTCCTTGGAGGAAACAATCTAGTTTCCTCTTGAAAATGTCTACGGTTGTTCCGGCAATATTTCTGATGCTCGCTGGGAGGGTGTTGAACAACTGTGGACCTCTGATGTTTATGCAGTGTTCTCTGATTGTGCCTATGGCACCCCTGCTCTTCACTGGTTCTATTCTGCATTTTCTTCCATGTCGTTCACTCCAGTACGTTGTTATTTTACCGTGTAGATTTTGTCCCTGGCCCTCCAGTATCTTCCATGTGTATATTATTTGAGATCTCTCTCGTCTTCTTTCTAGTGAATACATTTGGAGGGCTTTGAGACGATCCCAATAATTTAGGTGCTTTATCGCGTCCATGCATGCCGTATATGTTCTCTGTATTCCTTCTATTTCAGCAATCTCTCCTGCTCTGAAGGGGGAAGTGAGTACTGAGCAGTACTCAAGACGGGACAACACAAGTGACTTGAAGAGTACAACCATTGTGATGGGATCCCTGGATTTGAAAGTTCTCGTAATCCATCCGATCATTTTTCTGGCTGACGCAATATTTGCTTGGTTATGCTCCCTAAACGTTAGGTCGTCAGACATCATTATTCCCAAATCCTTGACATGCTGTTTTCCTACTATGGGCACATTTGATTGTGTTTTGAATATTTAAGGTCCTCATTTTTACCGTATCTGAGTACCTGGAATTTATCACTGTTAAACATCATGTTTTTTCTGATGCCCAGTCGAAAACTTTATTAATATCAGCTTGAAGTTTTTCAATGTCTTCAGCCGAGGTAATTTTCATACTGATTTTTGTGTCATCTGCAAAGGATGATACGAAACTGTGACTTGTATTTCTCTTGTATTAAGGCAACCTCCTTCCCCCCGCCCGGAGCGGGGTGGGGGAGGTTGTGCAGACAGCGACATGGTGATATGCTTGTTTGCTCGTTTTCATTTGAGGAGTCCACTATTTCGGCTTTCAGTAGCAATATTTTAACCAGAATAGGAGTTTGTTTTGGAGCGCTTACATTTCTGGATGTCTGACCCGGTCGATGGCAGACATAGAATGCTTCCAACCACACAGGGGTTTCTATAGGCCATTGTTCCTCGTGCCTCTCTGAGGGGGGGGGCCAGGTTATGGCTCGTGGTCCCCAGTAGGCATAACTCCGTGCGCATGGACTGATGCCAGGGTCTAATACATTCATATCAACCCGGTTAGCTCCGGGGAACCTACGGATCTCGCCCAGAAACTGGTGTTTCATTACATTTAACGCTGTTTTCTGTGGGGAGCCCCTACGGCTCCCTGGAGCTTATCGGGCTAATGTGTGTTATGTTAGACCGGGACATTAGCTAAGGAGTTCAGACCTACCAGGGACCAGCGCCAGAACCTGGCCCCTTCAGAGAGGTTTCAGGGAGCAATGGCCCTGGAAAACCCCATATGGTTGGGGTTTTTCCTTATCTGCCATCGACCGGGGTTAGGCACCCAGAAAGGTAGGCGTAACAAAACAAACCCCACATGGTAAGAAACTACAACAAAAACCGAACAGAGAGGTAGAAAACTCCCTACAATCCCAAGGAAACAAGCAAACAAGCAAACATCACACTTTACTGCCGCGCCGATCGTCCGCGCAGCCCTCCCCACCCCGGGAGGGGGAGGGGGGAGCCCCGGACCTACCGCGCCGGCTGCCAAGCTCCAGTTCGTTCGCTAATGTCAACCGGGATTGACGCTTCTCTGGCCTCAGTTTCCTAGGCGGTGTTTGCCTTGTGTGGCGTTCACTGCCGTGTGTTGTGGTGTGCGGTGGCCAGGAGTACTTCATCAGTGCCGGGGCTGCATGCGCTTAGTGACTGACTTCCCTAAGCGCCCTGTGAGTACTGCCCTTGCGTTACAGGGTTATCTTCCCTGGGGCGTTCGGGAACCATTCCCGTAGAGGTTCTTGCTGCTCGGCATTTGCCTCGCCCTTGGGGCCAGCTGGGGCTTGGGGCCCTTGTTTGGCCCTGGGTAGGGATTGGTATTGTGCTGGTTAGGGCGTCAAGGTGTTGCGCAGCCTGCCACCTAAGCGGCGGCCGGTTTCTGTTGCCTCTGGAGACGGTGTACTTTTGCGGGGTTTTTCTTTTGTTTTTCATTTTCTTGCCTGGTGGGGGTCTGCCTAAGGTGGTTATAGTTCCACTGGTAGTGTTTGGCGGCCCTCTGCTAGGCCCCCGTGCTTGTACACGTCTCGGGGGGTTTTCAGTGCTATAATCTACCCTCTTGTTATGTTTGGGTTTCTTAACCGGTTAGCAACACCTTGCCCGGGCTTCCCGTAGTTGTTACCCTACAGGCCCTGGAAACCCCTGTCTGGGCTCGGGGGACCATTGAATGTGTCTTCCGGGTTCCAACCCGTCTTGTACGGGATCGTTGGTTGCTGTTCCCTTGTCTCCGGGTGACAGTCGCCATTTTTACCTCCGTCATGCTGCCTGTTGGGTCACTGACACCTTGACCCGGAGTCTTGCGAGTGATTCTCTGCTTGTTCTCCAGTACTCTCCTGATGTTATTACTGTTCAGAGTACAGGCGGCATCCGTGTTGCAAGCTAGGTTAGGTTGCTGCAACATGCTAGGTTGGTTTCCCACTCGAATGCCCCGTGGCCGCCCCGTTTGGTTAGGTGCTGCTCGCCCCTTTCTCTCCATGCTCCCGGCTCCGGACCGTCTGCGGGTTTCGGGGTCGGGGCGGGGTTCAGTTGCGGCAGAGACTCGGGCGGTTTTCGGGGGATGCCCCGTTCGGGTTGGGGACGGAGGTTTGAGCCTGTGCCTCCTGCCAAGGCTTCTGGGTCTTACCAGCGGCCCTTTCTTGTTGCCTTTCCCATGGGCTCTTGCTTTTCTTTAAGGGCGGAGGGCTTGGAGGACGGCTCTGCCCCGGGGCCTCTGTTGTTGGTTCCCGGGGCTGTGGGGGATGCCTACTAGCAGTTCTAGGGCGGTTTTGCCCCTTCAGGGGTTTTTCTGCTGTTGGGCGTCGTTTTTCGCCCTTCCAGTCTGCTAGCTTCCCACATTTGCTGGCGTGTTTTTGTGTATTAAGCGTCAGTCACAGCCCCTGCTGGCGGCCATTTTCGTCTGCCGGTTTCCCGGCGTGGCCACCAGGGCGGCGTTGCGGTTTGTTTACATGCGTCTGGGTGTGCGAGCGAGCGTCTCTGGTGAGTTTTCAAAAAATTTGCAGGGTTTTTGTTCTCCTGTTGTCGTTTCTTTGTTTTTCTGGTGTTTTCTTGCCGTTGCCTGTTCCTCTGGGAACGTTTGGGTGTTGATTTTGGGTCTGAGCCTCTGGGTTTAGGCTCAGTGCCCCTGGCTGGTATGCTTGCTCCCACACCTTGCCCCTCGGTTTTCGGTCTTTTGGGACCGTTTTCCCAGGGCGTTCTGCTGGGGTCTGTGCTTTGCCTTTTAGTGGTGTTCTCCGCCGGCAAATGTGGTGGTTTGGGCTCCCCCTAGTTCGATTCTGGGTTCCTTTGGGTTCCTTGGTTTCGTTCTGGAGGTTTCTTCCTCTTGGGCCCCCTTTTGTGGGTTCAGGGGACTTTGTTTCCTCGTGTGACCCGGTTCTGCCTTTTGGGGTTCCGGGGTCTTCCTGGCTTGCAGACTGAGCTTTTTGGGTCTTGGCACATGTTGTGGTTGTGCTGGGACTTTGTGGTTTTGCTGTCGAGGTGGGCCTTTTGATGCAGTTTTGTGCCTTCTTTGCCTGGCCGGCGTAGTGCTCTTTGCCACTAGTCGGCGGCTTGTGTTTTTACAATATATGTCCTCACCTAGTTGTGCTTGTGGGGGTTGAGCTCTGGCTCCTTGGTCCTGCCTCTCAACCGTCCGTCAACAGGTGTATCGGTTCCTGTGCCTCTTGGGCTCTGTCATGTCTACATGTGACATTGTATGGGGGTCAGCCTCGTTACTTGTGTGAGGAGTCGCCACATTATTTCTTAGTGCTTTCCCGTTCCCATTCTGACACTCAAAAAAAAAAAAAAAAAAAAAAAAACTAATTCTATCTGTGGCTCTTTTGGGTACTCAGTTTCCACCTGTGTCCCCTAGTGCGTGTGCCCCTTGTGTTACATATCCTGTCCTTCTCAACCCTGTCGATTCCCTTGGGTATCTTGTATGTGGTGATCAGGTCTCCCCTCACTTCCTCTTCCAGCGAAGTGTGGTTTCATTCCCGTAGTCTCTCCTCATGACTTCGGTAGTGTACTTTTTCTTTCTGAAGGGGTTCTGTTCCCTTCTCTGTTGACTGGGCGCTGGGGGAGCAGCTTGCTCTGTTGCCTCTCGCTTGGTCCCGCTGTTGGTGGGCGCTTTGGGTTGTCTTTCGGCCTCTGCTGGCGTCGGAGGACGGCTTCTCCCCCTTGGGGGGGGGTTCAGAGCTGGCGGGGTGGGCTTCTTCCCTGCGCTTCGTCGTTTCCTCTTCGTGGGTGCGTGGGGCGTGGACGATCCGCCCCATCCTTCTGGGCTTCCCGTCTGCTCTTTGCAGTCATGAGCTTTTCCCGTCTGCTCTTTGCAGTCATGAGCTTTTCCAGTCTGCAGTTCTTCTGGACTACTTCCGTCTGCGCCCTGGATCCTCTGCCCTGCTCGGAGGACTGTTGTCTCCTGTTCGGATTCTGTTAGGGCCGGGTGCATGGATGGTGGACCTGGACCTCCAGGTCACTTCTTGGCACGTTCCTCTCCGGTTTTTCTGGGGCTAGCACGGTTGGTAATTACATATGTGTACTTACCTAAGTGTAGTTACAGGATGTGAGCTACTCTCGTGGTGTCCCGTCTTCCCAGCACTCTGTCATATAATGCTTTGATTATAATTGTCATATTGTCATATAATGATTGTCATATGTCATATGTCTTCATATGATTGTCATACAATGCTTTGGTGGTGGGGCTTCAGGTTTGCTGTTTTTATTGCATTCCCTATTTTGTGAAGGGCACTTTGTATACTCTTTGCATCTTTACCGGATCTTAGTGCCCTGTCTGCGTCTGAGATTCGGTGTCTGGCCTACCTCGACGACTGGCTGGAGTGGGCTCCCAGTCAGTCCGCTTGTCTGCTCGCCAGGGGATGGTTCTTTCCAGATCGCTGGGTTTGGTTTCCTGGTGATCTGGAGGTTTTACCTTCTGTTTCCGTCCCGGGTTCGGACCTGGGCCTTGTTTCAGGCTCTTGGGCCCCTCATTGTCTTCCCTCCAGAAGTGTTACTGTGGCTGTGGTCCCGCCTTTGGCTGTTCAGGAGGGGGTCCCGGGTTGCTCAGCGGTTGCTTGGGCGGTTGTGCGGGAGTTTGCACTTCGGCGTGCTTGTCTGCCCGCGGAGTCGGGTTTGGCTCCGGCGTCGGTTGGTTCCTACGGAGACTCCACTTCCGCCTCTTGCATTCCTTGGGTTCCTCTGGGGATCTGGTGTTGGTGCTGCGTCACCAGCTTCCTCTTTGGGGTTTTCGGGGTTCCGTGCCTTGGCGGCTCCCCGAGCCTTCGCTCGATGTGTTCACGGACGGGTCGTCTCTCGGCAGGGCCTTTGTGACCAGTGCTCACCAGGTCGGCCGAGGTTGATGGAGTCTGTCTGTCCGTCGGGCTCACAGCCCGGTTCAGGTGTTCATGGCTGTCTGGTTTGCGCTTCGAAGGGTTTGGGTCACTAGGTACTCTACCATTCAGCTCTGTTTGGACTGTTCTCTGGTGGTTCTTGCCGGAACCACAGGGGGTTTGGTTAACCGTGTGGTTCGTGTCCGGGGTGTGTCCTGCGTCCTGGTGGACAGCTGTCTCGGTTCATTCCTCTTCGTGGGTTGGCCAGTCGTCGCCGATTCGTTTTGTTGGCTCTGTTGGGCTTATGGACTCCTGGCCATGGACGTCTTCGGGTCGGCGTGGTCTAGGCGTCGCCCGTTTTGTGGCGCCCTTCCCACCTGCGAGGACTTCATGGTGGAGGCTTTCGGCAGGCCTGGTCGAGGTGGGGGGTACCTGTACCTCTTCTCCCGGTCCAGCTGTTGCTTCGGGTTCTGGCTCCGTTGCAGCCCATTCCCACGAGAACAGTCCTTATGGTTCCACTGTGGCCGGCCCGGCCTTCTTTTCAGACGCTGCTTGATAGGTGTCCGTACCCGGGGCGTTTTTCCTGAGGCTTCGCCTCTTTCAGCAGGCCGAATCGGTCCTGTCCGTGACTGGTTCGGCCTTCTCTTTGGCTCTTCGCGTCTGGTATTTTGACGCAGGTATCGCCATCTCTATGGTGTTCTGGTGGCTTTGTTGACGGTGTCCCACCTGCGAGCTTCGTCTTGGAGACTGTATGACGTTTATTACGTCTTCTCGCGTTTTGTTTCCCCTCCGGCCTGCTCATGAGTCGCCTGAGCCATCCTGGTCCTTGTTCAGGGTGCCTTCTTCTCTTCCCCTCAGTTTGTGGTAGCCCATTCGGTTTCAGTTTCCTCCTCTTTGGTACTGGTGGTAGCTTTATTGGTGTGCAGCCTTTCTCTGTCCTGGCGACGGTCGAGACGGCTGCTTTCTGGAGGGGTTCTTGGGGTATTGGTACTTGTTTGGTTTGGCCGGGGGGTGCGTCCTGTGTTGTCCAGTTGTGCTTTTTGCTGTTGCCGGCGTCCCGTGCCTGGGGATGCGCTGTGGTTGATCCGGTTCCTTCGTTCCCTGTTCTCAGGGCTCGGGTCTCCCGGGTCGTCCACAGTGTTTTCCTTCTTACTGCGGTCTGTCTTTGCGCCCGTGCTGTTCAGACGTTTGCAGCAATTGCTGCTGTGTTGGTGACGTCTCGGGCTCATTTCGGGCGCAGGGAATTGTGGGTCGCACAGGTTTTTGGCCGCCCATCCATGTGTGCGTCTGTTCTTGGGCGTTCTTGTTGCCTTGGGTCGCAGGTTTGCGACCGGTTGTCTTGGCTTTGCGTTGCAGAGTTTGTGGCGGCCGCCTCCCGGGTTAGCCCTTTCTTTTCCTTCTCTTTGGGTATGAAGCTCCAGGGAGCCGTAGGGGCTCCCCACAGAAAACCAGCGTTGAATGTAATGAAACGCCATTTTCTGGGTGAGCCCCGGAGGCTCCCTGGAAACCCTCCCTCCCACCGGTCGGCGGTTTTTTTCGCGTTGGTTGAAGCTTAGCTTCCGAACTGGAGCTTGGCAGCCGGCGCGGTAGGTCCGGGGCTCCCCCCTCCCCCTCCCGGGGTGGGGAGGGCTGCGCGGACGATCGGCGCGGCAGTAAAGTGTGATGTTTGCTTGTTTGCTTGTTTCCTTGGGATTGTAGGGAGTTTTCTACCTCTCTGTTCGGTTTTTGTTGTAGTTTCTTACCATGTGGGGTTTGTTTTGTTACGCCTACCTTTCTGGGTGCCTAACCCCGGTCGATGGCAGATAAGGAAAAACCCCAACCATATGGGGTTTTCCAGGGCCATTGCTCCCTGAAACCTCTCTGAAGGGGCCAGGTTCTGGCGCTGGTCCCTGGTAGGTCTGAACTCCTTAGCTAATGTCCCGGTCTAACATAACACACATTAGCCCGATAAGCTCCAGGGAGCCTCCGGGGCTCACCCAGAAACTGGTGTTTCATTACATTTAACGCTGGTTTTTTTGTTTTTAAGGGTGGAACACCTGTGCCAGGATGTTGTTGATAAGATCAGACATTCGTATGTTAGATGTTCCTAGGTCAGGGATCCCCTGTATACCTCAGGTACACATAAACATTATAATTACTGCTATATTTTGCTTTTTTTGCATATTGTAAAATTGTTATAGAATCCAAATATTTGTTGCTAGGTTAAGGTGACTGTCAATGGATCTGTGGAACTGCCTCAAGATGAAATTGCTCTAGCTAAGTGGCTCACAAAGAATGGGCCCGTGTCTATTGGCATTAATGCCAATGCCCTCCAAGTAAGTCATAAGTGTTACTGTTTAATATATTTTATAACCTGAACACCAAAATGTTTTATAGCTGAATACATTTCATAATCCATGAATAAAACTAGGGGCTTAATTTAGAGCATGTATACTTATCTAGTTTAGCTAAATACACATATAAATAATATATAAGAACTATTAATTATTATTTTACAGTTCTATGTTGGAGGAGTTTCCCATCCCCTTAAGTTCTTGTGCAACCCTAAGGACTTAGACCATGGCATGCTCATTGTTGGCTATGGTGTGCACAGTAAGTTGATGAACTCTTATATTTTGTGCTATTCATAGCAAGTAACCAGCTTTTATTGTTGATAGCCTAAATATGAATTGATAATTATTCAGTGATTTAAAATTCAGTGATTTAAATTGATATACAGTATACTGTATATGCAGAGATAACCACATTGAAAGTAAAAAGAATATTCTGAGTATTTGTACAGTGGACCCCAGATTTGCTGAAGCTCAGTTTGGCGAATCTTCGGTTAGGACGCACACATTTCAGGCCAAATTTACTCACCCGATTCAATGCACTCTGGTTCGACAAAATGGGGGATGTGTGGATTTGCTTATGGTGTTCAGAGTTCACAGAGTTCAGACTGGTGGATAAAATGTTAAATTCGCTTCATATGACTGATTGAAATTAAAATTTTCCTCAATGAGACCTCCCTCCCTCCCTCACTGCCTCTCTCACTCCCTCCTTCATCACCTCCCTCCCTCCCTCACTGAATCTCTTCCCCCCTCCCTCCCTCACTGCTTCTCTCCTCCCTCCCTCCCTCACCACTTCTCTCTCCCCCTCCCTTCCTCCCTCACTGCTTCTCTCTCCTCCTCCCTTCCTCCCTCACTGCCTCTCTCCCTCCCTCACCACCTCTCTTCCCTCCCTCACTGCCTCCCTCTCTCCCTCACCACCTCTCCCTCACCACCTCTCCCTCCCTTCCTCACTGCCTCTCTCCTTCCCTCCCTCACCACCTCTCTTCCCTCCCACCATTTTGTAACACAGCCGGTGTAGTTTTGCATATTTCCAAATATTTCTTTCAAAATAACCTCTAATAATAATATGTTTTATGCCAACATGAATTTTCATCTTAGGACAAATTTTACTTAGGCTGTGTGTGTGTGTAATTACCTAAGTGTAGTTACAGGATGAGAGCTACGCTCGTGGTGTCCCGTCTTCCCATTACTCTTTGTCATATAACGCATTGAAACTACTGACAGTCTTGGCCTCCACCACCTTCTCACCTAACTTGTTCCAACCGTCTACCACTCTGTTTGCGAAAGTGAATTTTCTTATATTTCTTCGGCATCTGTGTTTAGCTAGTTTAAATCTATGACCTCTTGTTCTTGAAGTGCCAGGTCTCAGGAAATCTTCCCTGTCGATTTTATCAATTCCTGTTACTATTTTGTACGTAGTGATCATATCACCTCTTTTTCTTGTCTTCTAGTTGTGTGTGTGTGTGTGTGTGTGTGTGTGTGTGTGTTTGTTTATACATAAAATGTGTGGGTGTGTGTGTGTGTGTATGGAGGTGACAAAGACAAATTATGCACCACATAAACATGTACATACATGCACCTTTGAGCAGGAATATAAAAGCTTATGCATTGATTAACATATCTCTTCAGCCACCAAATACCTGCACAGAAAGCAGCCATACTGGATTATCAAGAACTCATGGGGTTCTGACTGGGGTGAACAGGTATGTACTATAATCCAAATACTGTTGGACTGAGCTCTGCTTCTGGCATTGTATGTTTTGATTCTTGTTGTACAGTCATTCCTGAAGAATGTGTTTGTACACAAAGTCATCTAAAACATCCACACCAGTAAGTGGCGCTTATCCTAATGGCTCCATGTTTGTAGTTGCTAGCTAACTCTGAGGGTTTTCTTACAGCTTATCCAGTGTTCAAGAAGACTCTGCCATTCTGGATTATTAAGAACTCTTGGGGAGAGGATTGGGGTGAACAGGCAAGTAACTGGATAGAGTAGTTAAGTGAACTGAAAGTAATACTCTGAACAAAAGGTCTTAAATACTCTACTGTCAATAACTGTATTTAGGATATTATTTTATTGTAAAATAAAAATCTAAATATACAGAACACAAGACTATATCTTTTCTAACAGACCACAGTTCTACATATAATTTCTGGAGGCAGTACACTTTTATATTTGTCAGTAATGTGGGTACAATACAATGATTTTTTTATGTTATTACACTATAAACACATGTCATAAATATCTGTCTACATTTTTTGTAGACATATACATGACATGAACTTGGATTTCATTCCACACCCATGTTCGTAATGGGTGTGGAGTGAAATCCAAGCACAGCATAGCGATGCAGGTTATCAGTATAGGATGCTACCTGATGCAGCAAAATGACTCCAATATACAATGCACGTTGCTAAGTCTAGTCATAACATTGCTCTTATTATCAGATTCCTGTCACTAAATCATGAATCGGAATCATTGACGTGCACAATGGTGTCAGATATAGCAAAATTGTCTTTGACATGCACAGCTGATGAGTTAATAATCATCCAGAAAGCATGAAAACCCATGTAAAATGTCTCAACCTATCATGGTGTAGCCAGTGCATCCTCTTAAAATGAAAGTACTTTACTACAGTATGTAGATGATGAGTCACAATAATGTGGCTGAAGATATGATGACTAAGCCACACATCAGAAAATGGAGAAACGATGATGTTTCGGTCTGTCCTGGACCATCATCAAGTCGTGTAACAGAAGAGAGGAAGGAACAGGCAAATATATAACGTAAGAGTAAAATGAGAGGTGAGGAGGTAAGAATAGGATGCATGTAAAATAAGATAAGAATAGGATGAATGTAAGAAATAAGAGGAAGGTAAGAATAAGGAAAGTGGGTAGGAATAAGCCACAGGGACAAAACTAAAGTCAGATCACATTTGTTAAGAAGGTTAGAGCACTTAAATATGTTCAGTACTGTGAAAGGGTGGAGTCAACAGCAACGAAGCTAGAACTAGGTTCATGTTGGGCATGTTGTGTATCAGAGCCGATTCAACAAGACGGCGTCTGTGAAGAGTAGAGGCAGGAAAGATTATTTTAGAAGACCAGCCTGTAGGAAGATTAGAGTCCCTAACATGACAGAAGAGAGCACTGTTTGTGTTTGCAAACTTACTTATTTTGTGTTCCTTAAGTCATTTAGTGTACTGCCAGTTTCAGCAAAGTTTCGGAGAGGACAAGACAAATAGGAAATAAGAGTAGACACAAGCAGGAGGAGCAGTGTGAACCAGATTACTATGAAGAGTGTTAGTTTTTCAAAAACTTTACAACAAGAGGACAAAGGGTATTAGCGAGATTTTTAAATGTTCAGAGCACAGTGGTACTAGCGTTGGAAAGAGGTTTGGGATGAAGGAAATTACGTTTAGCTTGAGAATAGGCACAGTTGATAAAATGTAAGGGGTATCCAAGGCAAGAAAAAGATCTGTAAATAAAAGAAAATTCAGAATAAACTGAGAATCACTGATATGTAGAGAATGGACGAAGAGAGAAATGAGAACACTTTTCTTAACAGGAGAAGGATGGTAGGAAAAGAAATAAGTGTACATACCAATATGCATGGCTTTGCGGTAGACAGATAAAGAAAAACCGGACACGGTTTGTGACACCAAAAGTTTGAGAGAAGTATTTTCCATTGAAAAAGGAGGAGTTGGAGTCAATGTAGAGTCTGATGAGTTTGAGGAAAACATCAGTTGGATGCGGGAGATGAAGAAGGCCCACTGTCACTTTCTGACTAAGGAGAAGAGAGAATATCATCAAGAGGAACATTAGTAAACAGAGAATCAACATAAAGACTAAGCATTTTGCAAGAGGACTGCAGGCACAATCTTTATATGATGTGCTGAGTGATGAAGGTGGGCAGGCAAAAAAAGTACCAAGATAAGGAGTGAGAAGCAGACAGAGCCTCTAAAAGAAATGATAGGATAAAGAGGAACACCAGGTTCTTGGGGAGTTTTAGGTAGACTGTAGAAATAAGGAAGAGAAGGACAAATGACATGGAAATGTTTTATTAGATCAAAGTCAGGAGGACAAAGATTAGTGAGCTTAGTTTGCAGTTGAAAGACATTTTAACGTGATCCAAAGGATTAGAAATCAGAGGAGCATATGTACGGGAGTCAGAGAGCAAAACATCAGCCACTGGAGGTAGTCCACATGGTGAAGGATAACCACCAAATTGCCTTTGTCGGAAAGAAAGATAAGAGTAGAGCTGTTAGCATTCAGGGAGGCAAGGGCAAACTAGAAGTAACAAAGAAGGTGGTGATATCATGTAATTGTAACTCATCTGTATTGTAACTGTATTTGGGGTGCCACAGGTAAGCATCTTACTCTGTTTAATTTCTTCGATTCTCTACCTTCTTTCAAACAGCCTCTCCCTCGTTTCTTTTCTCACTTTTTCTAATTTAACACTTTGGGTTTTCCTTTTCCTGAACATTAACACTGCCTTCTTCAAGAACTTATTCACTCCACGTTGCAAGTTGATGATGCTTTTTTAACAGTATGTCAACACCAATACTTTCCATCTTCTCTTCCGAGTGATCTATATAATACTGTATCTGATTTTCCATAGCTTTCAACACTGCTCACCTCTCCTCTTCCCACTACTCTACCACACCACACAGCAAACTTCAAAGTCTGATTTCCAACAGTACTTGGGCTAAATTCTCTCTTTGACTGTTACCAACCTTTCTTCTTCCCCTTTTTCTAAGTACCAGCAAGAACTTCTTGGACTTGGTCTCTCTTTTGCTACTTCACCTGGCTCTCGCTGTGGCATTGATCTCATTAGTTCCTTTGATAAGTTTAACAGTTCTAACTCTAGTACTCTTTCAGACCTGTCTTCCTTCAGGGGTGCCCTTATCCCTGCTCTTGACAGTTTGTTTTCTAAAACATCTCCACCTTATTCGTTGCTTCCAGCTTGCCCTTGCCACCCTGAAAGCTAACAACTTTGTTATACTTCCTTCTGACTAAGGTAATTCAGTGGTTGTCCTTGACAATGCGGACTACCTCCAGAAGGCTGATTTCTGCTCCAACTCTTATATGTATGCTTCTCTGGTTTCTAAGCCTTAAAACTTCCTTCAACTACAAACTAATACACCTCTAGTCTTTCCTCCTGACTTCGATCTAATAAAATGTTTCCATGTCATTTGCCCCTCTCATCCTTATTTCGATGGTCGACCCGAGACTCATAAACCTGGTGATCCTCTTCGTCCTATCATTTGTTCAAGAGGCTCTGTCGGCTATCCTCAATGCCATCTAACTTGCCAAAACTCACTCCTTATCTTGGTACTTTTTTGCCTGCCCACCTCCGTCATTCTTAGGACTTCATGGAAAGATTGTGCCTGCAGCCCTCCTGTAAGATGGTTAGTCTTGATGTTGGCTCTCTGTTTTTACTTATGTTTCCCTTGATGATGATCTCTTTCCTTAATCAGAAGGTGACTGAGGGCCTTCTCCTGCATCCTACTGACATTTTCCTCAAACTCATTAGACTATGTTGACACTAACTCCTCCCGATTTAGTGAGAGCAGACAGTAGATATCATTCATTTGCAATTTTTCAAAGTTCATTGGTTTCTAGTATGGCTGCCCTGCATGTTCAGTCACTGGATGGTGATGTGCCAGACATGGTTCGCATCGTCTTACCAAGACCCCTGGAAGGAAACGAAGGGACTCAGGTTTTTCCAAATATGGAAAACAATCTACAAAGATTTCAAGTGTCAAATGAAGCACATGGGCCAATTGCTCCCAAGTGGTTGTTGGAGCAGTGTAAGGGTTAAACCATGGTGTAGATATATATACTTTTACTCAGTTAAAAAAAAATTGTTGCTATCCTGCTGATTAAGCAACATTATTATATTTCAGGGTTACTACCGTGTATATCGTGGAGACGGAACATGTGGTGTCAACCTGATGGCTACCAGTGCTCTTGTTCCTTAAGGCAATCAACTTTCTACCACCATCATTTGAGAAAGAATATTTCATTTGTTAAACTAGAAATCAGCTGATTAAATTCTTTTGTCATACAATAGGTTTATTGTGTCTAGCTTTTTCTTGTCTCTTGTTATGTGCAATCATAGTCCAATAGCCTAAAAATGTTGTCTTGGGTATAGGATCTTGAAAGTATGTGAATATCTTTGAGATGAAAACTTCAAAAATGATTTTTTAACTTATCTTGATGGGAATCTAGAATGTTTGTTTGTTGTACAAGTGTAGGTTGAAGACCATTAGTGCATGTATATCAATTTTGAGCAGCTGATAATGCATTAAGCATTTTTGTTTTAGCAAATATTTTAAGTATGTAATCTGCTTGCATTACTGATAATGTCTCACAGTAGTGGATGTAAAGCCATTAGCTACACTATAGTACCATTGGTAAGGTGATTATCAGTTAAATACATTATATTATATATATATATATCTATATATATATATATATATATATATATATATATATATATATATATATATATATATATATATATATATATATATATATATATATATATATATATATATATATATATATATATATATAGATAGGGGGGGGTGCCAATGTGGTGACCCATATATATATATATATATATATATATATGGGTATATATATATAGTCTATATAGTCTATATAGTCTATATATATATAGACTATATATATATATATATATATATATATATATATATATATATATATATATATATATATATATATATAATTATATAATACACACACACACACACACACACACACACACACACACACACACACACACACACACACACACACACACACACACACACACACTCACACACTCACTCACACTCACTCTGGAACCTCGGTGTATGAATTTAATCCGTTCCAAGAAATGCATTGTAACCCGAATATTCACACACCTAATAGAATTATTCACACACCTAATAAAATTTTTCCATGAGAAATTATGTAAATTGAATTAATCTGTTCCACACACCCAAAAATATTAATTTAAAAATGTTTTATATAGACTACTACTCATAATATTTACTGCACTTTACTTTTATTAAGGATTCTTGTTGGCAATATAGATTATGGTACAGAGGGGAGTCCCCTTCCATTTATCAGGCAGTGATGACATTTCTGGGGTATTCTTTCCTACATTTTGTAGGCATAACACTAGCACATGGGCTAATTGTTGAACAAAGATGTTCTCGAGCCTGGCCCCAGGCCAGGCTCGTGGAGTAGAACTCCTGAAACCCTCGTCAGGTATGCTCCAGGTGCTAGGGCCTGGTTGTGGATCACTGATTGTTTGTCTCATTATGAATCTGTCTAAAGACACTTGTTTTTGCTTATGTTTTAACAATTGTCTGTAGATATCACATTGTCTTTATAAATATTAACACAATAGCTAGCTACAGCTTTATCTGGGCAAGTCTTTTCAGGATAACTTTGCAGTTCTTCCCACACTGCACACATTTTCCTAGCCAGATCAACCACATGCACACCATCTTCATGTTTACGAATGATCTCTGTTATTGTTGAACTCTATCAATGACTTTCTTGGGACCCATGGCATGATATGTAATAAGAACTTTTATGTTAAGCGCAAAATGATGAAATTGGTTACAGAGAATTCAAGCAAGGTTATCACTAGGCAGCATAAAGTCGTAAATTGATCTTACCAACTCGGACAAGTATGAATGAGTGATGTACTCTGGGGTGAACGTCATACATAAGGGCATATTTTTCCAACAAAATTTGTCGTACACTGAAAAATTTGCATTCCAGTGCAATCATATACCGAGGTTCCACTGTATATGTATATAATTATTCCTAATCTAAAAGCTTGGGCTTGTTACTTGTCCCTCTAGGTATAAGTTTTATGTTTACAACTGTTGGTTGTATTTAGTGGCAGTATTTTATTTGTCTTGGTAGTTTTAGATCCTTTTGTCAAGGGGACCATTAACAACAGGTGTATCAAGGCCTACAAACTTTTATCTCGTACTCAGATATTGTAACCCATGTTAGAGTGGAAGTGGAAATTTTGTCAATGTATGTAAAGATTAAGCTAACCTTATTGCAATTATCTTTTCCATTTGACTGAGAAGCAAGTACTAAAACATATAAATACTCTACATAAATAAGGTAAACATTTTATGGTGATTGTTGAATCAGATATACAAATGGATTTTGTTAGGAATGCTTAACTAATAATTTTTAAGTTTCTTACCTGGTTCAGTATATGACAGTTACATGCAAATGTATCAGCTCTAGATGTTAAAGTAATCAACACAGATTTGTGTCAGTAATAGAGTGCCAATTCAATTTCTATTTAAGCCTACAGTTATAAAACTGAATGATTTGCAAGAGTGTAATTTATATGTTGTGTGGTGTATATTGTGTTCTTGTTTAAATGTATTTTAAAACTTGCAAAAGATTGTATAGGTAAAGCAAAAATTAGTGGTGGGAGGTACGGGACTTGTTTTCATTTAGTGTTGAAGATGTGGCTGCATGTAGAATCTTGCCAAAACTATTTTGGTTATTTGCTGGAAAACTGAAGAATTGATGATAAGAGTTGGTTGTGAAGATTTTTGTAAAGAAAAAAATTTGAACTTTAAACTTTACAGTAGTGTATAAAATTTATTCTGAAAACTGTATTGGATGTCACAATTCATTTAAGCCATGATTATGTCATGAGGTATCATGTATGAACATAATATTGCTTTATAATGTGTTAAGGGGCATCATTAATAAATTTAGTAATAAATTGGCTAATAAATTATCTATAGTAACTGTTTCTTGTACCTTTTCAAGTGTATATGCACTACCTATGTGAGACCATTACTAGAATATGCAGCAACAACATGGAATCGCACACAATCTACAAATTATGTGAGAAAGCTTTAAAGAATTATGGATTCCCTGCTTACTCGTCTGCTTCTCCTTCTACTCTTCGCCGTCTTGATGCTTTGTACCATACAGTACTTGGTTATGCCTCGGCTCTGGTGCCTTTCGTTCGACTCCCGCCCTCAACTTATATGTTGACACTGGCTTCCTATCTCTCCAGGACCGCTACTGTCTTCGCTATCTTGCACGGTCCTTGCAACATCTTTCCTCTCGCCTCTGTCGTGCTTTGACTTTTACCCCCTCCTGTAGTTCCTGTTCCTCTTCACCGCCCCCCCTCTTTCTGTCCGGTTATCTCGCTTGCAGGATTCTCTTTCGGTTCGTATTTTTAATATTTCTCCTCTTATTGTTCCTTACTTGCCCCCATGGAGAGTCCCTCTTCCGAAATTTCGTACATCCTTGACCCGCATTACTAAAGCTTTTACCCATCCTACGTTTCTGAAACACCTTTTCTTTGAACACTTTTCTTCACACTCCTGCTCCATTTCCATCTTCACCGAAGGATCCAAGTCTGCAGATGGTGTAGGCTACTCTGTTGTTTTTTCTGACCACACTTATGTGTCGCCTACCTCCGGAGATTAGCATCTTCACAGCAGAACTTTATGCTATTTTCTATGCTCTTTGTCTCCTGCTTGTTGTTAATCCTCCTTTGTGCTTGTCGTTGACTTGTAGTGCCCTCATGGCTCTAGGGTCCTTTAATCTGGTTCATCCGGTTATTGTCGAGATTCAACATTGGCTGTTTCTTATCTCCAGTAAATTTAAATCCATAGAGTTTTGCTGAGTTCCCAGCCATAGTGGTGTCTCTTTAAATGAGTGTGCGGATGTTGCCGCTAGGGAAGCTATCAGTTCTTGTCCCATCTCCCATAAAGGTATTCCTTATTCTGACTTTTACCCGGTTATTCAATCCTCCATCCTTGCTCGTTGGCAGGGTTGTTGGTCTTCTGTTGTTGGTAAACTGCGGACTCTTAAGTGTAGCATGTCCCAGTGGCCTTCCTCCTACCACCGTAATTGGCGATGGGAAACGGCTCTAGCAAGGTTGCGTATTGGCCATATGCGCTTAACTCACGGTCACTTAATGGAGCGCAGTCCTGCTCCTTATTGTCCAAATTGCATTGTCCCTCTTACGGTTGTGCATATCCTTGTTGAATGTCCTGACTTCCAGGACAAGCGTGTGTCTTGTTTTCTGACCATCCCTCACAGTCGCTTGTCCCTCGATAGAATTCTTGGTGAACCGGATGCTTTTGATATCTTTTGCCTTATGCGTTTCTGTTCTTGTATTGGCATCCTTGGTGATATTTAGCGTCCTCTGATTATTCCGCACATTTGATGGTGCTACATAGCCTTCCCGGTTTGGTGCCTTCTTTTGATAATTACTTACTTTAAAGAATTATGATAAAAATATCTAGGGGGTGGTTCTGGATAGAAAACTCACCTGAGGATCACATGTGTGAGCATCATCAAAACCAAAAATCAAAATGTTTATTCAGGTAAAAGTACATACATAGACGATGAGTTACAAACAATGTTGGATTTATGAATAGAGCTAGTACATACAATACCAAAAGCCACTAATATCACAGCGTTTCAGGCAAGGTGTGGGGGAAAAACTTAGACTAAAGCTTAATACTAATTGAGATTAAAATATAAATTGTGTTTAAATTGGAAAAAAAGGGAGGGAGGGGGTGAACATAGCAGAAATCAGCAATTGTGCAACTTGGTCAGCAAACTATTGTTTGAAAATAGCAAGACATTGGTTGACATTTAGGGGGTAAGGTAGGTTACAAGTAGTTTATTAGGTAGTATTTAGTTTTTTGCTTAAACTGGTTGAGAGAGGTACAGCCTTTGACATGATTGGGAAGGTCATTCCACATTCTGGGTCCCTTGATTTGTAGAGCATTTCTTGTTTGGTTAAGTATTTGATATTTTTGGAATATAAAATAGGTATTTGTTTCTGGTGTGGTGCCCATGGGTTCTATTACAACCTTCTAGGAAACATTTAAGGTCAGGATTGACATTACAGTTCAGAGTTCTAAATATATAGAGTACACATGAGAGGATATGCAGCGACTTAATATCTAACATACGCAAAGATTAAAGTAAGTGTACTGAGTGCTGTCTGGGGCCAGAGTCAGATATTGTTCTAATAGCAGCTTTATGTTGAGTAATTAGAGGACTTAAATAATTTTGGGTAGTAGAACCCCAAGCACAAATACCATAATTGAGATAAGGATAGAGGTAAGCGTCACCAGGGAAGGGCGAGGTACATAATATCTGATCTTAGAAAGAATGCCAACAGTTTTAGAAACTTTTTTTTGCTATATTTAGAATGTGTCCCTGGAAATTCAGCTTATCAATGAGGACACCAAGAAATTTACCATCTACTTTGTTACTAATTTGGATATTGTTTATTCTTAGCTAAATTTGATTTGAGGATTTATTACCAAACAAAATATAGAAAGTTTTGTCAATGTTAAGGGTGAGTTTGTTAGCAGTTAGCCAAAGATGGACTTTATTTAGTTCAGCATTCACTGTGACATTTAGAGCAAGAGGGTTAGGACTGGAGAAAATGAAGGTTGTGTCATCAGAAAATAGGATTGGTTTGAGGTGAAGAGAGGCATTTGAAAGGTCTTTAATGTGGATGAGAAAGAGGAGAGGGCCAATTATGCTGCCCTGTAGAACACCAATGTTGATGGGTAGGGTGGAAGAAATGGAATTATTCACAGAAACATACTGGAGCCTGTCAGAAAGGTATGACTGAAGGTATAGGAGGGAGTGACCTCTGACCCCATAATGATGTAATTTAAGACGAAGGTTCTGGTGAGAACATGTACAAGAATATGAACATATAAAAGAACACGTATATGGATAATAACAGAAATACACAAAAAGTGACATACAGTTACCATACCAAGGACAAGAACACACCACCTACACATATCTATTCAGAAACTGGTCCTTCAGAAACCATAAACAATACGTTTCCCAAAGCACGAGGACCTGACCACCCGGCGGTGCATATAATCTGGAACATCCAAAATGAAGGCCAGCACACTAGGCACCCACATGGGGGATGAGTCCACGGAGGGCCAATCACGAGCCCCCCACATAGGCCACAACCCACAACACCCTCCGAGACAGCCCCCCCCAACGAACCACTTCCTCTCCCCCAGGAAGAGGGCAACACTACAGGAGACAGACGTACAGGAAGCTCGGACAAAGGGTCCAAAACTGCAGGGGGGGCTTTATCACAGGCAGCTGCTTCACAGCGGACTGCAGGGTACTGGGTGCAGGCACAGTGCTTACCCAGCGCACATTCTTTTTGAGGACCACCACTAGATCATGGGGCTCACCAGACACCTAAAGAGGGGGCACCACCTCCCACTCCAGAGAGCCCACAGTAGGGGGCACAGGGGGGCACATGCAGTAGCCAACACAAGAGCCCCCACACCGGCGCCGGTATCTGCCACATGAACTTCCGCCACCACCACCGCAGAACGGTCCTTCTAATTACCGCAAGCTACCACAAGCTACACAAGCTTCGCAAAGCTTCCTGGCAATACGTTAGTAATGAATAAATATGATATATTTACTCATTATAATGTTGGTGCTGAATGTACAACACGAAAAAACATAATTTTAATCTGAAAAAGTATCTCTTTATAAAGAAATTAGACGAAAATAAAGAGCTGGTGACGCCAAATCAAGTCGACGATCCAAGCGTCTGTTAGGTTAGGTTAGGATAGGTTTGGTTAAGTTAGGTTAACTTAGGTTAGGTCAGCCTAACCTAACATATCATATTTATTCATTACTAACGTATTGCCAGGAAGCTTTGTGAAGCTTGTGTAGCATGTGGTAGCTTGCGGTAATTAGACGGACCCATCGGACCGTTGAAGAGGGATGCCAAACGGCAGTAGCAAAGCCAAAACACGAAAACAGGACGTGATCTGGCGGCTCCCAGGCAGAGGAGGTATCCAGACGTCCGCTCAGCATCAAGGTTGAACCAGGAGTCCTAATATAACCTGTACGCAAAAATATATCTTAGATAAGTCGCTCCACAACGTTGTTGCTTGGTCCGTCGACTTGCTTTGGCGTCACCAGCAGCTTATTTCATCTAATTTCGTTATGAAATGATACTTTTTCAGAGTAAAATATGTTTTCCATGTTCTACATTCAGCACCAACATTATAATGAGTAAATACCTGTATATCATATTTATTCATTACTAACGTAATGCCAGGAAGTTTTGGGTGGATTTGGGTAGCTTCGGGTAATTAGACAGATCATATTTGGGGTATAAAAAGACGTTATTTAAAACTCCAAATATGTGCAATAACCCTGAATTCCGCTCAAAAATAATGCTCAATAGTCATTGTGATTTGACAATAACTGAAAGCTACCAGTACTGTACATGATAACGATATTTACAGTTCATTGGTATAAAACTTTGAAAGAAAAACTTAAATGAAAATACAGTATGATGAAAAAATCCATAGGAGCTGTGATGAGGGTTCAAACCTATGGGGGTGGGTGTTCCGATGCAATCGCCCCAGACAATCAGGCTACAACATGGTAAAAGGAATACAACCTGTTGTTCTACTGAACACAAGAGGGCTTTCTGAGGCTTCTACTGAAGCCGGCCTAGGAATTTCACACAATCCTACCATGCACTCTGGCTGTCATCTAGGAATGTTCTACCTCTGGCACTCCTCTTTCAATACACAGAATAATCACACTAGCATGGCTGCATCAATGAGAAAATCAGTAAGCAGCATGATGAGGGTTTGAACCTATGCGGTGGGTGTTCCCACGCACCTGTCCCAGACAATCAAGCCATGACATGGTAAAAGGATTGCAACTTTGAGTTGTACTGAACACATGAGGGCTTTCTGAGGCTTCCACTGAAGCCGGACCAGAATTTTCTCACAATCCTCTAATGCATTCTGTCTGTCATATAGGACTGTTCTATCTCTGACGTTCCTCTTTCAGTACATAGAGTAATTACACTAATGTGATTGCATCTATGAGAAAATCCGTAGGAACCGTGATGAGGGTTCAAACCTTGTACGATGTTGTGGCCTGATTGTCTGGGGTGTGTGCGTGGAAACACCCACTGCATAGGTTTGAATCCTCATCATGGCTCTTGCAGATTTTCTCATTGATGCAGTCATGTTAATATGCTGTATACTCTGTGTATACAGCATACTGTATTGTAATGTTTTACAGTACTGTACTGTAATGTTTTACAGTACTGTACTGTAATGTTTTACAGTACTTATTCTTAAAAACAAATTATATTTTATGCAAGCATGGACTGAAGTCAGCACACTGACCATAAAATTCACTTATTATTGATGACTCAGTAATATTTTCTAATTTACAAAAGATTTAATATTTAAAGAAAACTCTAGGGGGGAATGAAAAACAAAACAAAAATTAAATATTTGTATTAATAAAATATCACAGTAATGTCTTTCTATTATAGAAAATTTAAAAGTAACATGGTTCTATTTTACAGGCTAAAACAATGTTATGTGGATTGCAAAACCTTTGTGCTTAGTTATCATTTATTGTCTAAAGCCATGAACACATATGGGTACATAGCCAACAGATGCTGTGTTTTGGCTCAGGGCATAGTCTAGTTTCCTCAAAATATTAAAGAATATATCTAACATGTTCTGAAATATGTTTCTTTCATAGGCTCCAAGAAGAGATTCCTTCTATAGAAAAAATTTATCATCTAGGATAGCAAGCATAGTTTGAACTATTTTAAATTGAGTGTTCCACTGTGTAATATTTGCAGCTTGGGGACTGTTCTCACCTTCTAATAGTTGTAGATACTTTAGATTTGCTTTTATGTGATACAATCTTTGCTATATAATCAAATACTTTGTCTAACTGGAGGACATTATTTATTCCATACTTTATAACCAGTTGCAACATATGTGCAAAATAAGGAATATGTTGAGCAGGGAGACCTGAATAATCATCAGTATCATCACTCTCGCCTGAATCAGAAAACCAGCTACCTCAAAACCAGGTTGTGAAAGTGCAGTATTTGTGTTACTGGTGAGTAATCATCACAATGATGAAAACTTTTAGTCCAAACCATTTAATTTTTCTCATATTACTATACTATTCTCTCTGTACTATGGCACCCTTAGAAATGCTTGCAGGCTAAGACTGAAGCTTCCATGACTAGTTATGGATATACAGTACTGTAATGCATTGTCATGCCAACATGCATGCATATTTGCCCACTTCACCAGATATCTAGAGTAATACAGACTGCTTTCACATGTTGCAGGTGGTATATCCATTTTATTTTAAGCTTAGCACATCTCTCATACATCAGTTTAATGACAAGAAGGTTTCTGGTAATTATGATCTGGGATAAGAAATGTTCATGATACCCCTTACGTAGTCACTATCGACAAGTGAGAGTGGTACAAGGTCACAAGAAATATAAAGAATAAGGGTCTCAGTAATCTTTTGTCTTGGGTAACTGGTAGCATACTAGTCCTTGACAGTGAATGATATGAAAATACTATTTGCCATAAGGTGACATCTCAAGTTGCAACTGGCAAGGAAGCAAAGTACAGTACTGCTAAACTGAGTGTCAAAGTCAGAAATGCTTAAATATGAGTGAGTTCCCCACATCTTTCTCATTTTATAACTTGTAAAATTTTTCAACTACATGTAGATGCTTGGATGTATAGTACTAGTACTTGAAATTGAATTTTTTCAAGTAAATTTCATTAAATTATGAAACTGCAAGTACACATACTTGAAAACTGGTAAATAAGTACCACGTACTTATTTACCAAGTACTTGTACCAAGTACAAGTACTTCAACCCAAGCCTGACAGCAAGTAGTAAATGTTTATGCATATTTAAACACAATATATAAATATGTTGTATGCCTATCCATCTTTAAGAGAATGTCTGTCTGCCCAAGGTTGGAGGCCAGACACTTGCAATTAAGATCATGTAACTCTGTTAATGTCAAGGAAGGGGAGGAACCCCACTTTCAAAATGTTACTAGTTAAATTTTTCTTGTACAAATCCAGATTTTGGATAGTTTAAACAATTCCTTATCATCATCATCTTTATCAATTCTTGTCACAATTTTCTACAGTATGTGGTGACACACTGCCTTTTTTCCTGCTCTATATTAGTTTTGGCATAGTTAATGCCAAAAATGTAAACCTTGTAATATTTTAGTATAGCTATGCTTATTAAGTTTTTAATTATTGTTTGGTCCCCCCACCTCCCTCCCCCCTCATAACCAATATTATAACGGTTTTTAAATCTGTTACCAGTTGGTAAAATGATCCACTCGTGTAATTACCTAAGTGTAGTTACAGGATGAGAGCAACGTTCATGGTGTGGTCTTGTGCCACAATATTCAAGCTGATGAATGAAGACTTTTTTCCAAGTACTGTATTGGAAGGATACAGTATATTTAGTAACAAAATTAATTCTGGTAAATCTCCTAAAGTATTCCGATTTGGGATTTAAATTACTCTATGTACAACAAGGAGAAAAGCGAGTTAAAAATATAAGTACAGAAACCCAGCTGTGAGTGCAACCCGTCCTCAAATCAATTCCATTCCATCCAGTGGTCGATCTCAAAGATAGATTCATCAATTTTAACATGCAGTTCATTCAAAAGAGGAATTTTCTGAAATATAAATTAATATTGTTATATATTAGCATACTGTGCATATTTAGGCATTGGTTAGGTTAGGTGTATAGGTTCCGTTGGCAATTATTTGTATTTGTAGAATGTGGGCGAAGCATTTACAGCGTTGTCGTTTGAACAAAAGTCGTCCTCAAGCACTTGTTCTAGAAGTGTTCGAACGTCATTAGTTGCGAGTTATGTTTAAACCATTTTTCATTCAAAAACAGGGTTTGGCGGGTGCATGGAATGGACTTTGGCCTTTGTTTATGAGGACGGGCTGGTGAATGTAATCAAATGCCTATCTGGAGGAGCCCCAGTGGCTCCCTGAAGCCATCTTGCTGATATTGTGCCATACTAAAAGGTCACTGATGTGACTTTTGGTATGTTTGGCCTACTGGGGATCAGAACCAGAACCTGGTCCTTTCACAGAGGTGCAGGAAGCAAGTGACAATCTGTCACTCTATCATGAAAAGCTGCCAGAAAGTCAGCGAAGCTTTATAGACAGCTGGAGGGTTCACAAAAAATGAAGCTTGAAACCTCCAAACAACTCTACAACAATTCACACAAAACAAGGGATTCACTCAAACTAGCTCAAAACTTGTTACCTGTATTACTGAATACTGCCACCAGGCCACCCAGCTCAAGCCCTTTGCCAAATTCCCAAGTCATTTGTATAGCTGATGAACCAATGAACCTGGAGTGAGTGGGGTAAATGAGGTAACCCCCAGAGCTCCCCCAGAAAGAGCCATTTCATTACATTTAATGCTGGGTTTGTGGAGGGAGCATCCAGTGGCTCCTTGAAGCTTGACTAATCACAGAGACCAAAAATGGGACTTACCATGGAGGAGGAAAAGGCAGCAAGCACAAGGACAAAGAGGAAAACCCAGGCCAGGAAACAGCCCAAAGTCACACACAACCAACCATGACCAGGAACACTGACTGAACACTAGACTACCAGAACTCTGGTTAGAATGCCAAAACCCGAGCCCGAATATCAGCCCAGGATATGTTGGAGAAGACAATGACCAAAGCCATGTATTTGCAAACATCATGGACCTGAAGGTAGACCACAGGCTGGCTAGACTTAAGACACTGCAGCCAGCCTGAGAAATGCACGTCTTGGAACAGGGGACCAAGGAAACAAGGCATCTACCAAGACATAACTGGTGACTTGCAGGTAGCAGCAAGAGTCACTACCAGACACAACAAACAATGTATCCCTGGCCAAACCAACTAAGCACCAATCTCCAAAGAACCCTTTTTGAGATCTTGAGATGATGAGCCTGGTAACTCAATTCTTTGCCAGATAAGGAGAATACTGCAGACAAATTAACCACCCACCAGGGTCAAAGGAACTGACCCCCTGCCTCTGGAAAAGAGCCTGGTGGCAACAAGAGCCAACAAAAAGACAGCCTTAACCTTTCCTCTGCACACAGCAAGCAAGATTGCTTCATCGGTGGCATGCAAATTTATCAGGGTTGTTTTGGGTGTAGTTGGAGTTGCTTCTAGGTCTTTTTATGAAGTTGTCACATTAAACAGCTACACAGTACAGAGATTAAGAAAGATTCATGAGCTGAAGAGAAAATCGTAAACCTTGACAATGAGAGAAAATGGCAAAACCATGTCCCAAGAGATCAGGATGGCTTTGGAGGAGCATGAACAGGCTGGAAGTGAAAAAATGCGCACACGGGATGCCAATTGAAAAACAACCAAGACAAAAAGGACAGAACACACCTGACCAAAACCGAAGATGATGAAAAGATAAATTGTGAACTGAGCACCAGGCAAATTCATACTGTCGCCACAAGGAAAGACAGATGGGACACTTAACAAACCAGCCACCTACTCACCATATAAATGGTAATAGGTATGCAAAAAAATAAATAAATAAAACTCCAGATGCAAAGAGAAGAGAAGTTTGAACCAGTAAAGTACACTGCCTGGCTAATCTGACTGAAGAGGTAAAGCTGTAGAAAAATGCCTGCGTTCAGAAACCAGGTCAGGAGAACTGAAAACCAAAGCTCGACCAGCCACCGAGGAGCCAGAAGGATCACCCTGAGTATGACTCTAGACTGGACAGCACTTGGAGCAACAATTGGTCAAAGGTAAAAAGGTAAATGAATCTCCACTTCGATCAGCCCCAACGAAAGGCATCCATTACGAGAGCCTTACGATCAGAGAACTGAGCCACATATGAAGGAAGGTGCTGGTTCCATGGCGACATGAAGAGGTCCACTTTGGGGCATCTAAATATATCACAAAGCCAAAAGAATAATGAATTGTCAATGGTCCACTAAATAGGAATGAGGATGGAAGCAAGACATCCCATCTGGGAGAGCATTAGACACATCATGCATGTGAGCTGTGCAGAGAACCAGACCCCAAGAAACCAGAAGTTGAGCTCCCTTAAGCATCCAGCTCCACAGGGACAGATGAGACCACCCTCGGTCCAAGCAATGAACCACTGGGGATTGGCTGGTGGGACCCAGACCAGCCAATGATCAAGGTATGCCAACACACAAATCTTTAAGAGATGAAGCTGGGCTACCCTGATGTACACTAATCTAGTAAACATACTATGAATGGCAACCATGCTGTGTTGTATAAACAAGTATGCAAACACCAGTACACCCAAGGCACCAGTTTCAAGCAGAAGGTAAAAACACTCAAGTAGTAAACTTTATGCCCCACAACAAAATGAACCGGGATGAATGAGGACATGTCAATATGCATCCTTGAGTTCCAGGGCACAGTCCAAGCTCCAGCCTGTAATAGCAGGCAAACTTAGGTGAAAATGGTCATGCAGAGGGTCGAACAGGAAATGAATCTTTCCAGCCCGAGGATGTATGTTATAAGCATCTTCAGCTATAAGCATCTTTCAAACTTGCACTCGAGTAAGATGAGCTTGATGGACCAATCCAAAACAGACCCTGGTAAAGACCTGCAGGTGATTACCATGGCATGAAAGTAGGTAACCAAGCAGAAATCCCAGGCAATGAGGCTTCTTGCTGGAAGAACAGCCATTAAATGCTGTCAAAACCAACCAGGCTATGAATGGCAACCATGCTGTGTTGTATAAACAAGTATGCAAACACCAGTACACCCAAACACAACCAAGTAAATGACCCCAGCCAAGGGCCCAAACAGAAGAAGCAAAGATCTGTGATTTGCCCAAGGCGAGGCATTCCACCCTGGTGGCCTGACCTCTCAGGGACAAACCCCCAAACACACTACAGAAGATAAATGCCTGTGCAAGGGCAGCATTCTCAGGCAATTGGGGAAGAAAACTGAACAATTTCTGCATGAAGGAAAGCAAGAGCCAAGCCCACACAACAAGCCAGAACAAAAATACATACATGAACCAAATACTAAAATAAGGAATAACATCACAAGCATATGGCCTCTGCAGGGCAAACAAAGTTCAAGGAAGACCAGCATTTAGCTTGAGGTGGCAGGGCTTGTGCACAACTGATGGACTGGAACACTACAGGCAGAAACAAACACTGCCCCATCAGCAGCAGGGAAGCCAGTTGAGGGCTAGGCCACCTGGTAGTAGTATTCATTGCTATTATGCTTCAAGCTAGCACGAGTCCCTTGTTCTAGGTGAATCATTTGCAGAGTTGTTTGGCGGTTTCAAGGCTTTGGTGACTTTGTGGTGGCTTTTTCCAGTGGGGTGGCAGATCCCACTGGAAAAAGCTCCTTGCACCTCTATGAGGAGGGGCTAGGTTCTTACTCTGGTCCCCCAGTAAGTCAAACTAAATTTCTACGACCCTTTAGTATAGAGCAATCTCCATCGCTTCATATGGAGATTACTTCAAGATAGCTTCAGGTACCCACTGGGAGAATCATTTGGAAAGACTTTATGATTTACACTGAAAGCATAATATGACATAAGAACATTTTGATGTTAGGTTTAAGTTAGCTCTGTTCTTCATGTGCTGTTGATTCAGAGGGAGTTTTGTGTTTACAACTATGGTTTCTCAATGATACTTTGAATTTGAATGAATGTTTACATGTATCACAAGAATATTTAGCAATTTTGCTGTGTTTGTTTTCATGTTCTTTTAATTGACATTTCCTAAGAAATCTTCTTCCACAGTGACAGATAAAGGGTCTCTTTTGGGCATGAATCTTAAGATGAGACACAAGGGAATCCTTTCTAGTGAAATTTAATGAACATTTATTACAATGGAATTGATAAGTAGTTTCTTGGTGTGATTCTGAATGTCTCTGAAGGCCCCAAGAAGTGGTGAAAGTTTTTTCACACTCCTTACATGTCAAAGTTTCTAGATCTGTGTGATATTTTGTGTGCTGAAGAAGATCCTCTTTACAGGAAAATGTTTTAGAACAAATTTCACAAGCCAACTGTTGTTTTGTATGTTTTCGTTGCTTGTGTCGCTTCAGTCCATACTGCTTGGCAAACTTTGCTCCACAAACCTCACAAGAATGGGAACTCTTCCGTGTTCCAGAGTGGAGTTCCAATATGTGTGTTCTTAACCCACTAGCAGTATGACATGAATGCTTGCAATGAATGCACTTATGAGCTTTTTCTCTCTGATGCACTCCAATATGTTCCTTTAAACGTCTCTCCGTAGTAAAGGCTTTACTACATTCTGCACATATGAATGTTTTACTCAGCGCATGAACTTCTCTCTGGTGTCGAAGATAAGAACACAATTTTGCAAACACTTTTAAACACTCTCCACAACGGTGAACCTTTCTACCAGTGTGCTTCCTCTCATGGAGGTCCTTAGAGCATTTTCTGAAAAACCTTTGTCCACAAAACTGACATGAAAAGTTTTTCTGACCTTCAACTTCATGGGTTTTGTAATGTAATCTGTAAGTTGATTGACTTGTATATTTTAAATTACAGACTTCACACGCATATTCCTTTATCTGTGGCTGCTGCTGTGCTTTGGAAGACAGATTTACTGGGTCATTATCTTGCATTATACATACAGTATTTGCACTCATATCTGGATTAATTCCATTGGACCCAAATGGATTATTATCTGTACTTAGAGTGCCATTCAACTTACTTACTAATAGAGACTGAAAGCTGTGAATGTATCGATTTACATCAGGACACTGACCAACTACTTTTCTCTCCTGATCATGATGAAACTTTTTATGAAAATAAGGCATTGCATCACCAGGGAGATGTGCAATGTTATCAATATCATGGTCATCTGGCAAATGGTTTACCTGGTTTATACAGTCTGTATACATGTTGCCAGAATCATCATAATTGGTAGGAACATCACTGGCTACAATTTCAGAAGTATCACTTTGAATATGTACATCACTGGCTACAATTTCAGAAGTATCACTTTGAATATGTACATCACTGGCTACAATTTCAGAAGTATCACTTTGAATATGTTTTCTATTGTCTGTTTCACAATTTTCTTCACATTGAACAATTTCTTTGTCAGAAATATGAGCTTCTTTTACATTATCACAAGACAGGATGTCGGTGCTATTATCTTGAATTTCGGTACTGCGCATTTGCTCACTATATGAATTATAATTAGTTAGATTTGTGCAATCTTTCAAATTACTTTCCACAGATTTTATATTACTTGATTTAACTTCATTGCAATTATTAGATTTTCCTAAAACTAAACTTTGGCTGGATGATCCTGAAGAATTGAGAAACTGCACATTTGAACATATATCATTATGTATCGACTCTTGTAATTCAGATTTTTGTCCCGAAGATTCTAATACATGAGCACAAGGGACTTTATCAAACAATGGGAGAGATGAAGCAGTTTTTGAGAAAGACTGAAGTTTAAGTTCTTGGGAAGTCTGCTGTGAACAATCCCATGACGACAATGTAAAAATTGGTGGGTCAATATTTTCAAGATGTGGACGACTCTCTATGTTAGTTATGTCAATTGAAGTTTCAAATGTGCAAGGATGACTAATAGCATTTTGTACATCTTCATAAGCACAAGGCTTATCTATGCTTTGATACAGAGGCATCTCTGTCTCCACTCTCAGTGATAAGGCATGATCTGACTGAGAAATGCTTTCTGTTTGTACTGAATTCACCTGTGACACTGATGATGGAGTAGTCACAAGAAAATCTAATGAGCTGGTGTCATCACTGGTGACTGTGTTGGGCTCAACCTTCGAAAAATTTGAAGACAAGTCCTGCATGCTGTTATGGAGGAAGTCAATGCTTGATTGCACCAGTTGGAGGGAAGAGTCAGGTTGCTTCCTTGTAGTATTAGAATCTGGAGCAAGTGATTCTTCAGCTGAAGGAGTCACTGCATTTGAGGAATCAAATCTTTCTGCAGAACATGGATTAACGTTTAATGAGTCAGTATCTGTTAAAGGAGAAGCTACACAATAATCAGGTCTACCACCTGAATAGGGTTTTGTGTTAGGGGCTTCTCTGTCTACTGATGGAAGAGGATTATATAAATCAAGTTTCTCCACAGTACCTGGATCAGTACTTAGTGATGGAGCGTTACAAGAACTATTCCTTCCACCAGAATATGTATACGAATTATCAGATAGTCTACTTGAACAAGGAGAAAGATTATTTTCATTAAGTGGTCTTCTTCCAATCGAACTAGGGGTCATTGGACTATTATCATATGTTATTTTCCCACTAATTGGGCTGAGTTCTGAAATCCCTGGAGACCTGACAAAAGAAATTTTATTCCTATTAAAGCCTTTCCCAAGTTTTTCCAACTGCCATTCACGTAGTTTCCGGAGCTGATTTGCTGTGTCCTTTTCTTCCATAATGTCAGACAGACATTCTGAGGGGTCGTCAGTATCATTGATCATGAGGTTTTCTGTCTCTGTTGTTATATTACCTGGAGTGGAAACAGCACTACCAAAGTTGCAGCTAATGGCTTCACTTTGGGAAGCTGGGGATGTAGATTCTGGACAAGATCCAACAATGGGAAGCAATGTCTGAGATACATTAATACTTGGCACTACACTATGTTCCTTAACATGTACAAAATAAGCATCTTTACCTACAATCTTTGCGCCACAAGTTTGACAAAAGTAAGCCCGTAATATAAGTTCAATAGGTTCCTCACTAAGTGAAGTTCTTAAATTATCCACTTGACCATCGTTGCTAAATAGGTTGCATAGATTGGAGCCTGACACATCTCTGGTAGATGTCTTTTCTGCAAAGGAAAACGTTTACGATTTTTTTATATTTACCTAGAACATAAATAGACAGTAAAAACAACAAAAAGTTCATGTATAAATCTCTCAATAAAAAAAAACAGCATTGAATGTAATGAAACACCATTTTCTGGGGTGAGACCAGGAAGCTCCCTGGAGCTATACCGGGCTGATGAGTATATATATTAGATTGTGGCAACAGTCAATCGATGGAGTTCTAGCCTACCAGGGACCATGAGCAAGAACCTGTCCCCCCCCTCCCCAAGAGAGGAACAAGAAGCAATGGCTTATAGACACCCCCATGTAGTTAAAAGCAGTCTGTTTCTGACATTTACCAAGTCTGGCACCCAGAACGGTAGGAATACAGAAACAAACTACAGCTGGTTAAAAAATTGAAAACCGAAAGCCAAATGAGTAATTAGAACTCCCCAATCAGAAAACAAGCATGACATCATCACAGCCACCATGCCACTGTCTGTGCAGAAGGGGAAGAGGGGGGGGGGGCAGACCTCCTGTGCCAGCCACCTATCCTCAGTTCAGTGGCTGAATATTAAAAATGCACGAAACCACTGACCGCAGGGAAGGAGGGATGCCGGGGGAGCCTCTCGGTCTCACCCAGAAAATGGTGTTTCATTACATTCAACGATGGTTTTCTGTGGAGAGCCCCTTCGGCTTCCTGAAGCTACCTAATCAAAGATAAAGCAAAAGAGGGACTTACCCGGGTGGTGGCTGCCTCTCGCTCCTCAACTCAAAGTCGAGACAACTGGCTGCAACTTGCGACCCAAGGCTACACACACCCAAGAAGGGCCGAACCAACCAAGCATCCACAACCCAAGGACCCCTCCGCAAAGCAGCAGTCTCATTCTTCGCCAGAAAAGTAGGAGACGGCAGCAAACGAACAAACCCACCACCAGGATCAAAAGAGCAGAAACCCTGTGCCAGAGGAGAGCATGAAGCTCCCCAACCCAACCCCCAGAGGCCAATGCCAACTAGAAAAAGAGCCTTAGAAAAACAGTCCTGAATCAAAGGGGCCACTACAAACAGAGGAGAAGAAAGAAAAGAGAGCACCCGGTCCAATAACCAGGATGACTCAGGTGGTGCATGAGCAAGCTGGAGGTGAAACAATGCCCGAGAAAGCTTGCGGAATGGAGCAGAAGTGACATCCACCCTGAAGGCAAGCTGAAGTGACACCGCCAGCACCGCACGATACGAGGCGACAGTATTCAGCATGAGATGACAATCCTGAAACAACCAAGAGAAAAAGGACAAAACAACCCAATCAGAAATCGAAGACAGTCTACAAAGAGGCAAAAAGTGCCAAAAGGACCGCCAGGAAACTTCATACTGCTGCTGAGACAAAACCCAACAGAACTACTTTCCCCTTGTAAGTCTCCAATTGAATCAGGACCTGGAGCAGCAACTGAACCGGGAGGAGGAGGAGGTACAGGTAACCCCACCTCAACCAGTTCAGCTGAAAGGCATCAACCCCGACGGCCTCACAGTCGGAGAAGGGCACCACATATACCAGAAGACGCCTCGACCAGGCTGACGTGAAGAGGTCCACCTCTGGGTGCCCGAACGTTCGGCAGAGCCAACAGAATGAGTTGGCGTCGACCATCCATACCGTGGACAGGGGAATGAACAGGGGAATGAACAGGGACAGGCTGTCTACCAGGACGTTAGACACCCCCATGGATATGAACCGCCAGGAGAGCCAAATGCAGAGAACTCAGCAAACGAATCACCCAAAGTGGCCAGCCCCAAAGAGCCAAGGACCACATTGAACCTCTGTGGTTCACACAATGAACTACTGGGGAGCAGTCCGAATGGAGCCGGATCATCAATCTGCGAGCGACGCGAACTCTCCAAAGTGAAAGCCACACCACTACGAACTCCCGCACCGTGCTGCGAGCCCAACGGATGGATGGACCCTAACGACCCTGGCCAGCCTGGTGAGCACTGGTCACAAAGCCCCAGCTGAGAGACGACGCATCCATGAACAGATTGAGCGAGGGCTCAGGTAGATGCCATGGTACAAAACTACGAAAAACCCAGAGAGGAAGCTGGTGGCACAGCAGCCGACACAAGGCCCCTGGGGTCCGAACCCCCCAGCAATCGCGAGAGCGACAGAAGGGACGTCCCTGAAGGAACCAGAACAGCCGCCGAAGCCAGATCCTACCAGATGGGTAGACCAGCACGGCAAAGTTCAGGCTTCTGCACAACTGCTCGAACAACCGACAAGGAACCCTGGTGCCCTCCCCCCCCCCACAAAAAAAAAGATGGGATCACAGCCGACCACCAGGACCGAAGAGACAAGGAAGCGGTCTGAGAGTCCCACACAAGACCAAGCAAAGTCCCAACTTGAGAGAGAACTACAGTAATTGGGACTTCCTCCAGTTCACCAAGAACCCGAACCCGGCGAGTTGGGTAAGAATCAAATCCCCGGCCAACCAGTCATTGAGGTAAGCCAGAACCCAAACCCCTAACAGATGCAAACGAGTCACCATGACAGGGCGCCAGATTCAAGCTGAACGAAAGGCAATGAAAGCTGTAAGCTTGCCGCCCCACAACAAAACCGAGCCAGTCCCTGAACCCCAGATGAATCGGGACATACCAATACGAGTCCTGGAGGTCCAAGGATACCATCCAAGCACCCAGGTCCAAAAGTAGCCAGACTTGGGACAGAGTCATCATCCGAATGGAGGGGTAATAGATCCAAGGGTTCAGATGAGACAAGTCCAGAATGAACCTAAGATCCACACAGTCCCGTTACGAAACTAGAAACATGTGGGAAACAAACCTGAGGGACGCTGTCGTTTCAACCTTGCCCAAGCGTACCCACTCCAGGGTGACCCGACAGAGTGCAGGGAAAGTGGCCTGCACTGCCAGCTCCAAACCCCGCGAAGGAGGAGCTGCCACCCAACGCCACTGCAGGTCAGAGGAAACAACCCGAAACAGCCACAAATCATGGGACCAGGTGAGAGCAAACAACACGAGTCTCCCCCCGCCCCCATTGCCCCATCAATGGGGGACCTGTGAAAAGGTTGACGACCCTTATGAGAGCCCAACCGACGCTCAGACCGAGCACCGACCAGAAGCCCGACCGATGCTCAGATTGAGCACCGACCAGATGCCGACGGCACCGCAAGAGGGGCGGGCCCCAAATCTGGCACCACTGGCTTACGACAACCGAAGGAACCCCGAGCCCTGGCACGACCCTTTCAGGCAGGACCCCTATGCCCCCCTCCCTAGAGAACCTACAAGTCCAACACAGGCCGGCAACTAGACATAACTACCTGCAGAAAATGCACCACCGCAGACTCTGCAAACTGCAACGGACAAAAAGGGGACAAAAATCTAAGAGTCAGGTCTCGAGCAGATTTCAAAGAGTGGATGAGCACTGTTGACACGTGATGCAAGAAGCCCATAGAACTCCATACACATGACTGATGCCAAAGTCTGACATTAGCATATCAGCCTAGTAAGCTCCGGGTAGCCAAAGGGGCTCCCCCCCAGAAACTGTCAGTATACTCTCTAAAAACAGTTATTATGTTCCCCACTCCACTCTCCTCTCATTATACTAATCGCTAATCTATTCCTATCTTACATATACTATCTGTGCATGGGGTTCAACCAGTGCAATTTATATCAAACTCATCACCACCCAGCAAATATCTTTTATTAGAATTATAACAAACTCTGTCTTCAGACAGCACACAGCCCCTCTGTTAAATCCCTAACATGCTAAATACACACACACACACACACACTCCATACATTCTCTTGTGCTATTAACATGTGCATAACCTTGTTCCTAAATGCCAATCCTGATCTGGTAATCTTCCTTCATAGATGTAAATAGAACCCATGAGCATCGCACTAGAAATAAATATATCTTTTGATTTCCCCAGAATCAAACTAAATCTGTGCAAACACTCCATGCAAACAAAAAGACCCAGTCTATGGAACTCACTCCCTAATGAATTAAAAAATTGTCCAACTTATGCCTTATTCAAAAGTAAAACCCATAACCAAAACCATAACCACAAAAAACTAATTTCATCCTCATAGTTTCCTATCTTGTGTTTCAAACTTACACTGTATTTTGTGTTACCAACTCACCTAATTTTAGTAATTAAGACGTGCAACTTCACCAGTGTAATCATTTTCATCAATTTATATTTTAGTTATTATGTTGAACTAAAATTATGTTACAATGTACCTATTAATAATCTTACCTTATCTGTTAGATTAGGAACCTACCCGAAATGCTATGCGTGTTAGTGGCTGTGCAAAAATGTAAGTTATTAATAATTGTCGGAAAACCCGACACCATTTAATAATATTACATGCAATAGGCAGATAATACTGCTGCTGTGTTGTATACACAAGTTAACCCATAGAAAATGTAGCTTGTAGTGGAATTTTCCGTCAATAGAAAACGGGATATCATTGCCACATAGTACTATAAATTCACCAGCTGTTCTGTTGGGAATTATTCTTAAATACAGTAGTCTTTGGACTTATTACATCATAAAAACATCTCATTTGAATTAACTTAATTACTAGTATCATAATAGAGTAAATGTGACCCTTCTATCACTTATTGACATCTGGACAAGGAGAGCCAAGGCATCAGTGGTGGTGAAGGTCAGCCATTGTTAAGACCAGAGGTGCTGGGGAGCAAATTCAGCTCATATAATTTTCTTGGACGAAGTGTTATGGAGATCAAATTAGTGCTCTACCATCATCAACATGCTGTCAACATATACAAGGGAAGTGTCTTACCGAAACCCGTTTATCTAATCATTTCTGGCCAGTTAATGTTAGGTAGATATAGGGCGAACCGGTGCATTAGCACGAGAAAGAGCCTCTAAATACAGGTAATTAGTCCTTGGTCCTTATCTAATAATATATAAATGTTTCATCTGATATAGCTGTCATACATTAGGATTCCAGCTTTACAGCTAGTGCCCTTTGACAGGAACAAGAAGAGGAAGCAAGAATTAATCTTGGTACATCAGTTACTTGGGTGATGCTAGCCTCTCACGAGGATAATTTGGTGTCTAAACCCTAGTTATACCTGGTGGACTAAGCCTACCATACAGTAAGATAAGGCACCTCCAAGTTATTTACTAATATATGTAGTTTAATACTGTAGTTTGATTGGCTGCATATATATAAATTTAATATAAGCCCCCCCCTAATGTGTAAGGATCAATTTGTGAGAATAATTGCAAAAATACAGTCCGCTAAACATCAAACAAATTGCTATCGAAAGATATAAATTAACGTAAATATAAATTCTATATAAATTAAATAAATATAAATCTCACAGGTCGGTTCCCACAATAATATCCATGTAATACAACAATATTGTGTGCTCTCACAAACTCAATGTACTTTCTTGTATATAAATAATAAATAAATAAAACCATTACTTCGAAATTTCCTCCCTGAGGACAGGGTTGTGTCCTAAAGTGTTTGATTACCCTCCGGGTTCACTTGGTTCACCATATACAATACAATGTGCTATATCATGCAAAAAAAAAAAAATGAGGAAAACAAAAAAATAATTCAGTCATCCCACCTTTTGTCACAGGTTGATCCTGAATCAACAATTCTAGCTTGGAATTGTCTACAACTGGTATCATTGGCTTGATCCTGTGTGTCTGCAGCAATGTGGGCATCCCATCTCCCATGTGCCTCTCAAGATGATGAGTAAGCTCCTGGATGCCACCAACATGAGCACTGCAGATGGCACACTGGAGAGGCCGATAGGTGTAGTAGAGAAGGTGGTCGTGCAAAGCCACCACAGATACAAAGTCCTGTTGGCAGCACAGTGGACAGCCTAGTGAACCCATCTGTACAGCTGCTCTCTGATGAAAATAAGACAAAATAAAAATCATAGTAAGCAACTCTAATCATCCAAACTAAATTTCAAATGCAGTATTGCACAAGGGACTAAAACATAATAAGATAATAATAAACGAAATTGAAAAGTCCCATTGGTCCATGCAAGGCAGTTTCTATTTATATCAATCAAACTCATTCACATATATATAGTATATATGTTTGCCTTTCACTTGAAACAATCCAACAATCATATATCTATTGTTACCAGATAAGTTGTTTCATAAAATAGCCCTATTACTAAATCAATATTTACCGAGACTTCTCTGAATCTAAACTTATCCAATATACTGTATATCCAAATGAGCCAAAGCCTTGGGTTTGATGTTGATGAGGGAAAACCATTAGTGAGAAAGAGAGTAAGAAACAGAAGACAGTGATATGACAAGAATATAGATAATTATCACAAAATAATGTATTGTATAACAACAGATAATGTATATGGTGAGAGAATATTATTAATGTAATAAAACCAGCATTGAAAGTAACAAAACACCTCTTTCTAAATGATCCCAGGTGGCTCCCTGAAGCTATCTCGGTGAGATGGCTCCACACTATAGGGTCACATCAGTCTAGGGAGTTTTCTTTGGCCTACTGGTGACCGAAGCCAGAACCTGGCCCCCCTTCACATTGGTACAGAGAGCAGGTAACACTGCCACCCCATCGAGAAAGCATCCAGAAAGTCAGCAAACCAACACAGACCACTGATGGGTTCAAAAGAAAGGAAACCTCGAAACTGTCAAATGAACTTCCCAAACAATGTAAACAAATGACCATATCTCTTGAACTAGCTCAAGCACATTAGCACTGATCTTCCGCCAGTAAGGTGGGGAGCTCCTGAGGCTCCAGGTCTTCTTCTCCAGACTTCCAAGCCAGTTCAGAAGCAAATTTGAAGACCACAAACACCACCTGACAAACCTGGAAGGAAGGCCACCAGGGCTCATTCAGAAAGAGTCATTTCATTACATTCAGCACTGGTTTTCTGGGAAAGCCCCTTGTGGCTCCCTAAAGCTAATTATCCACGGAGAAGAAACACAAGGGATTTACCATGGAGGAGAAGGTGGAGAAACAGCAAATAATCAAGACTAAGAAGAGACAACTGGATGAGAGATATGACCCCAAGACAATACAGGCAGAACAAAGATGGGGGCCCAGATTCAAGTTCAAGGGAAGAATCTTGAAGCAGTATAAGAATCCCATAACAAAACCTAACTGGTACCTGAACCTGGGATGTATAGACATGTACCAATACACATCCTGGAGGTATAGGAATACCATCCAAGCTCCAGTCTGTAGTAGCAGGTGAACTTGGATCAAAGTGATCATGCAGAAGGATGGACAAGAAATGAAGCTGTTCAATCCAGAAAAGATCATGAATGTAGAGTAGGTCTGGTGAACCCCACTTTAGGACTGGGAACAGCTGGGACACCCACCCAAGATGAGATCACCTCGACCACACTCAAGTCCAGCCATCTCACAATGTCCCAATGTAGTGCCAGGGAGGAATCCTGGCTCATAAGACTTGACCCAAGAAGCAGGGGAGAGACTGTTGACAGTTAGTCCCTCCCTGTTGGCCCCTAAGGGCTCTTAGGGACCAACCAACTCTACCACAGGCCAAGGGAGATGATCTAAGAAGCCTATAAATTGTGGGACCAGCAGCCGGCAAAATGAGCCAGACACCCCAGCCTAACAGTGGCATCAAAAGGGCAAACTGCAAAAGAGCCAGTGCGTACCACGAGCAGAACCATCCTTCCACGAAGCTCAGTTCTGATACTGAGTAGAAGAGGAACTTCCTGCAGGAAAGTTCCTGCAGGAAGGGGATTGTTATGATCACCCTCACGTGGGAAAGCACCAAGAAAAGGCAGTGAGGTAATACAGAGAACTGTGTGGTTCATCAAAATGAACAGGTGGGGGCTGATGGTCCATCAGCTCCAGAATGATGGTCCAGCAGCTCCAGAATGATGGTCCATCAATTCCAGAACCAGCCGGTTGGTTGCCAGGATGCTACTGGTTGGTGGCTCTATGTATATGCACTGGGGAGGTTTCATATTCAATTCTGAATGAACCATTTTTTTAGCAACTTTTTTTTCAGTGTCTTCCTTCGAAAGAAGCAAGACACCACAAAGGACTCATTCTAGGGCTCACCTAGAAAGGGGCATTTAATTCTATTCACTGCTGGTTTTATTTACTGGTATGATTGTACACTAGGTCATGTACTACTTGCCTTAAATATCTGCAATTATTAAATTATAAACTGGACCCACTTATTACACAATTTGGGGCAAGTGGGGCCCCAGCTATTGGAATGCTGTGCCTTGGTATATATGATGAATTAAAACCTTTTATTGCTACCATAAATACCTGAAGGATAGATCTACATGTTCAAACAATAAAATCAATAAATATCTGATTTGTTTAATTTCCATGAAACATTAAAAAAATGCAGGCCAATTTCCCCCAACAGTATGCCACTTTTATTTAGTTGGAATATAAAAGCCACAAACTGATAAAATATTGTTTTCTCTATACAAGTTGTGTATAAAGTATAAAACACAATAACTAACCTGTTTACTGTAATACCAATAATTTCTCAAATTTGTTCAGTTTCTTTTGTATTCTTCTCATTGCAGCAAAATTCTTAACACGAGTCTCTCTGATAAACATAACTGGAAAAAAAAAAATTAATGACAGACATATCTTTTGTCTGTCTTCATTTTTTGCACCTTGCTCTTGTTCATCTTTCAGAAATGCATTTTTGTACCTATATGAAATAAATGCAAAGCTACATGCATTACCATATACAGTACAGTAAACAGGGCTTTCTTCATATCAATAGTTTTCCATCATCTGTTTTTGTTTTCTTATACAGAACAGAAATTGAAAACCCCCAAAAGCCATGGGTTCAGCTTTTCACAGAGGATACAATGTTTAGCTGCTATCTGGCTTGAGCTAACAACAATATCACAGAAGATAGCAACAAGACTAATGCATAAATTAAAAGGACTAAACTCTGAGGATAGGATGAGGGAACTCAATCTCTCAACCATGGAGGAGATAAGAAAGGATATAATCACTATAATATATACAAAATACTGAGTGGAACAGGCATAGTGGGCAGCCTCTTTATATTAAGAGAGTAATGAGAAAAAAAAGAGGACATAGCTTTAAACTTTAAACAAACAAGTCAAAGAAATTTAAGGCAATATTTGCACCCTATATGGGTGGGTCAGCAATTGTAATGCACTAAAAATGGAAGCTAACTAAACAACCTCCATCTACAACTTCAAGAGCAGATATGACACAGAACTTAAACATCAGTAAAGTTTAAAAGTGTACCAGGTACAAGAGGTCAAGTAGATGAGCCATAAAGATTCAGACCTCACTCCCTAATGGTCTCTTGTTAGGTAGGCACAAACAATTATCAATAGTAAGTACCTAGCCAATATGGCTATATAGGAGTGTATAGCAGTATCCCTCTCATAGAAGTTTTAGTTTCTAGATATCACTCAGGATGCCAAATAGACCCCCCCCCCAAAAAAAGGCCAGTTAGATCAAATTAGTACTATTCACCAAGTTGTTTTTTTTTTTAGACATGTAGTGTACAGGGACAGTGGGAAAGCAAATTTCTGGTGAACTTCTGGTTTTAAATGCTTGGGGGGGAAATATGGAAGCTTGATTAAAAGAAATATTTATAAGTGGGGAAAGAGTGGTAGGAGGGATGAATAGTACAATAAAAGGAATGAATGTCAATGTGGTAGCTAAGGACACATTGTACTACTCCCAGCCCTAGCATACAGAAGTGAAACTTGGGTATGGAAGGTGGCAGGGTGCTTAAGAGTACAAGCAGTGGAAATAAACGAATGAAACATAGTGATGAAGTGGGTGAAGCACAATACACTTAAGTGGTATGGATACAGTAGTATAATGCCTGGGAATCTTGCAATGTTGACATCATGACTGCAAACCAGGCATGACAGGGCGGATCTCATTGAAACTTTTATAATACTGAACAAGTTAAAGGATGTTGATCCAAATACTTTCTTCAGAAGATCAGATGTAACACAAACGAGGAGCAATGGTTTCAAGCTCAACAAGCCACAATGTAGGACTGAGAACAGGATATGCTTTCTCACCCCACAGGGTTATTAACCCATGGAACTGCTTACCCTGGAAACTGAGAACTGAGAAGATTCAGCAGGATGCCACCAAGCTCGTCCCGGAACTGGAGGTATGAGCTACGAGGAAAGGCTAAAGGAGCTGAATCTCACGTCCCTGGAAAACAGAAGAGTAAGGGGAGACATGATAACCACCTACAAAATTCTCAGGGGAATTGACAGGGTGGACAAAGACAAACTCTTCAGCACGGGTGGGACACGAACAAGGGGACACAGGTGGAAACTTAGTACCCAGATGAGCCACAGAGACATTAGAAAGAATTTTTTCAGTGTCAGAGTAGTTAATAAATGGAATGCACTAGACAGTGATGTGGTGGAGGCCGACTCCATACACAGTTTCAAATGTAGATATGATAGAGCCCAGTAGGCTAAGGAATCTGTACACCAGTTGATTGACAGTTGAGAGGCAGGACCAAAGAGACAAAGCTCAACCCCCACAAGCACAATTAGGCAAGTACAATTAGGTGAGTACCCGCCAAAGCCATAACTGCCAAACTGTGTTGCGTTTTAAAATACACCTAGAAAAGATCAAGGCAAATGGGGAAACTTTCGACAAGCCGCTGAGTTTGTTCTGTTCAAGGCTACTAGGGTTAGTGACCCTCAGGTAAACGCATTTGTGTTGCTGAGCCACAGCAACCCTCTTACGTTCCCCCTCCTCCTCATCCTCCCAACCATTCCCCTGTCCCCTCATCCTTCTCACCATTCCCCCCTCCCATCGTCCTCCCCACCATCCCCCACTCCCCTTGTTCTCCCCACCATTCTACACTGTCCCATCCTCTAATCTCCACCATTCCCTCGTACTCCCAACCATTACCCCCCTCCCCCATTTCCCCAATCATTACCTCCTGCCCCATCCCCTTGTCCTCCCCACCATCCCCCACTCCCGTTCCCTCGTCCTCCCTACAATTCCCCACTCCCTCGTCCGATGCGTTCCAAATGATCTGATGATCCTATCACTGAAAAATATGAACAGTTAAAAAACGAAATTAAAAAAAATGAAGAAATAAAAGAATAAACTATACTCACAAAATGAACGGTATGGTAAACAACACAGCTCAATTCCAATGCAATGTCACACAAAATAATTAAATCAAAATCTATGAAAATTAAATTTATCAATGCAATCGGAAACATTGAAATGGAATCCTAACATATTTAATATAGCGTGTGTTGCTTTTACGTGCAACAGATGGCGTTATTTTTCAAACAACCAGCGTTGAATGTAATGAAACGCCATTTTCTGGGTGAGTCCCGGAGGCTCCCCGGAGCTATCCCAGGCTGATATGCTAATGTCAGACTTTGGCATCAGTCATGTGTATGGAGTTCTTAGGCCTACCGGGGACCACGGCCAGAACCGGGCCCCCTCAGAGAGGCAAGGGGAGCAATGGCCTATAGAAGCCCCCGTATAGTTGGAAGCATTCTATGTCTGCCATCGACCGGAACAGGCACCCAGAAAGGTAAGCGCCCCAAAACAAACCCCTATTCTGGTTAAAATTGCTACCTAATACCGAACTAGTGGATAGAACTCCCCAACCGAAAACAAGCAAATTAGTGTGACGTCACACACTGCCGCGCCGCTGTCTGCGCAGCTCCCCCCTCCCCGGGAGGGGGAAGGGGGAGCCCCAGACCCCCCGCGCCGGCTACCCACACCTCAGTTCTTGAGGCTGGATGTCAAAAACGCGAAAAACCGCCGACCGGAGGGAGGGAGGGATGCCGGGGAGCCTCCGGGACTCACCCAGAAAATGGCGTTTCATTACATTCAACGCTGGTTTTCTGGGGGGAGCCCCGTCGGCTCCCCGGAGCTAACTACCCACAGACAGAAAAAAGAGGGACTTACCCGGGAGGCGGTCGTCGCTCACCCCTCAACTCGAAGCCGAGACAACTGGCTGCAACCGCCGACCCAAAGCAACACAGGCCCGACGAGGGCCAGGGACATTCACAAGGTAACGAGCAGCCAGGACCCTGTTCGACCGCCGAAATCCCCGCGCCCGAATATCAGACCAAGACATATTCCCAAAGACGGCAGCAAGAGCCGCGAACTTACGAACGTCATGGGCACGGGGATAGACCGCAGGCTGGCTAGACCTAATAACCCTGCGGACGACCTGAGACACCCGAACCCGCGAACAGGGAAGAAGGGAAACCGGATCAACCCACAGCGCGTCCCCGGACACAGAAGCTGTGGCGCGCAAATAACGGCGAAGTGCCGCAACCGGACACAAAACATGATGCACCCCCGGCCCGACCAACCAAGCATCAACCACCCATGGACCCCTCCGGAACGCAGCAGTCTCATTCTTCGCCAGAAAAGAAGGAGACGGCTGCAAACGAACAAAACTATCACCACGACCAAAAGAGCAGAAACCCCTGCGCCGGAGGAGAGCATGAAGCTCCCCTACCCGACCCCCAGAGGCCAAAGCCAACAAGAAAAGTGCCTTGGAAAAACAATCCTGGACCGAAGGGGCCACAACGAAACGAGGAGATGAAAGGAAAGCGAGCACTCTGTCCAAAGACCAGGACGGCTCAGGCGACGCATGAGCAGGCCGGAGGTGAAACAATGCACGAGACAGCTTGCGAAACGGCGCAGACGTAACATCGATACCGAAAGCAAGCTGAAGCGGCTCCGCCAGCGCCGCACGATACGAAGCGACAGTGTTAGGCATAAGATGACGGTCCTGAAACAACCACGAGAGGAAGGACAAGACCACCCGAACAGACAAGGAGCTAACACGACGAAGACGCAAAAAGAAACGGAAGGACCGCCAGGAAACTTCATACTGCCGCCGAGAAGAAGCCCTCAGGTGGGACACCAACAAGGAGGCCACCTGATCACCATAGAGATGATGATAGACTCGAGTCAAAAAAACCATACGCGAAGACTCGAGGAGAAGATCGAACCAGCTACGTGACGTACCGGCCCGATCTGCTGAAAGAGGCGGAGCCGCGGGAAAACCCTCGGGTTCGGACACCGAGCAACCAGCGCCTGAAACCAAGGCTGGGCCGGCCACCACGGGGCCAGAAGGACAACTCTCCCCTGGTAAGTCTCTAAGCGAGTCAGGACCTGGAGCAACAGCCGAACTGGGGGAAAGAGGTACAGGAACCCCCACCTCGACCAGTCGAGCCGAAAGGCATCGACCCCGACGGCCTCGCAATCGGGGAAGGGCGCCGCATAAACGGGAAGACGCCGCGACCACGCCGACGCGAAGAGGTCCACCTCGGGGCGCCCGAACGTCTGGCAAAGCCAACGGAAGGACTCGTCGTCGACCGTCCACTCCGTGGAGAGGGGAACGAAGCGAGACAGGGCGTCGGCCAAGACGTTGGACACGCCCCGTACGTGAACCGCCAGGAGAGCCAAACCCCGAGAACTCAGCAGACGAGTCACCCGAAGCGACCAACCCCAAAGAGACAAGGACCGCATCGAACCCCCGCGGTTCAGGCAATGAACCACCGGAGAGCAGTCCGAATGGAGCCGAATCGTCGATCCGCGGGCCACCCGAATCCTCCCCAGAGCAAACCACACTGCCGCGAACTCCCGCACCGTACTGTGAGCTCGACGGAAGGACGGATCCCAACGCCCCTGGCTGGCCTGGTGAGCACTGGTCACAAAACCCCAGCCGAGAGACGACGCATCCGTGTACACATCGAGCGAGGGCTCGGGTAGGCGCCAAGGCACTGAACCCCGAAAAACCCGAAGATGAAGCCGGTGACGCAGCAACCGACGCAAGTCCCCCGGGGGTCGAACTCTGCGATCGCGAGAGAGGCGGAAGGGGGAACCCCGAAGGAACCAGAACAGCCGTCGAAGCCAAACCCGACCCGGCGGGTAGATCACCATCGCGAAGTTCAGGCTCCCGCACAGCCCCTCGAGCAACCGCCGGGTGACCCGAGGGCCCTCCAGAAACAGACGAAGGCGGGACCGCAGCCGCAGGAGAGACTCCGGAGGGAGAGACAAGGAGGCGGTCCGAGAGTCCCACACGAGACCCAGCCAAGTCCGAACCTGAGAGGGAACCAGATGGGACTTCCTCCAGTTCACCAAGAACCCGAACCCGGCGAGCTGGGAAAGAACCAAATCCCTGGCTAGCAAGCAAGCGGACTGGCTGGGAGCCCAAACCAGCCAGTCGTCGAGGTAGGCCAACACCCGAACACCTAGGAGACGCAAACGAGCCACCACAACCCGTGTAAGGCGTGTGAACACGCGAGGTGCCAGGTTCAACCCGAACGGGAGACAACGAAAGCGGTAACTCAGACGCCCCACTACAAAACCGAGCCAGTCCCTGAACCGCGGATGAATCGGGACATGCCAATAAGCGTCCCGGAGGTCCAGGGACACCATCCAAGCACCCGGCTCCAAGAGGAGCCGAACCTGAGACAGCGTAGTCATCCGAAAGGAGGGGCAATGAACCCAGGGGTTCAGACGGGACAAGTCCAGAATGAACCGCAGGTCCGCGCAGTCCCGTTTCGGAACCGGAAACAGACGGGAAACCCATCTGAGGGACGACGTCGTTTCGACGACGCCCAAGCGTACCCACTCCAAGACGACTCGACAGAGCGCAGGGGAAGAAGCCTGCCCTGCCAGCCCCGACCCCCCAAAGGGGGGAGGGGCCACCCAACGCCACCGCAGGCCGCGAGACACGACCCGAAAGGCCCACGAATCGTGGGACCAGGCGCGGGCGAACAGCGCAAGCCGCCCCCCCATCGCCCCGTCAAAGGGGCAAACCGCGAAAGGGCCGGCGACCCTTACGAGACCCAGAACCCCGCACAGCGCGAACACCGCGCCGACCAGACGAGGGAGGGTCCGCAGGAGGAGCCAACCCCAAACCTGACACCAGAGGCCTACCACGACGAGAGGAACCCCGAGCCCTGGCACGACCTTTCCGGGAAGACCCACCCCGGGACCCCCGGAAAACCAACAAGTCCGACATCGGACGACAAGCCGCCGACGCAGCCTGAATAAACTGCGCCACGGCCGACTCCCCAAACAGGAGAGGACAAAAAGGTGAAGAACGCCTAAGAGCCAGAGCCCAAGCAGATTCCACGGAGGAACCCAGCACCGCCTGCCGACACGCGAGACGGGAAGCATAGAACAGGGAAACCGCATCCCGCAAAATCGGCGTGAACAGCTTCAACAAGGCAGCCGACGAACGCGCAGCCGAGGACAAGGTGCCGGACCCCGGGACGGACCCAAGCGTCCCCACATCCTCCACGAGCCAATCCGAAGACAGCTCCAGGAGGGAAAAGAACCGCTAGGCCGAACACAAAAGGCCCCGAGCGCGCAAGTCCTCCGCCACGAGCGCCGCCGAAAGGGAGGGAACCTGCACATGGAGCTGAATAACGCCCACATCGCGGGGAAGGGCAGGGGCAAACAAGCACTCATTCAGGTACTCAAGTTCACCCCCCAGGAAAACCTGAAGCACCGTGGAAGCTTCCCGCCACTCCAGCGTGCGGGAACGACAGAAGGAATGCCAGGAATCCAGACCAAACAAGGGGCAGTCTGCTAGCCAGGATGACTCCGGAACCTCGTAACGGAGCCAGAAAGGGAACGAAGTCCCAAACCTGAACGTGGACGGATCCATTTCCGAGGCATAATCCGGGTCACGCAGGAGGTAAGCTGTAAAGGCCGCTCGCACCACACCAGGTTGGATGCGATAAGCCGAAAACCTCCGGAAGGACGGAACCGACGTACCCGGGGGAACACGGAACCGTACCCGGGGAGGGGCCGACACCAAATCCAACTCGTACGCAGAGGGGGGGAAAGAAAACCCCACTCCTTGTAACAATAAGCCCCGCTCAGTGGGAAGAAAAACCCAGGCGGGGTCCAGCGGGGCCCAAGGCCCCCAAGTCAGCCCCTCCCCAGCCCCTCCCCAGCCTCGAGGTCCGTCACCACAGGACCCGAGGCCGAGTCCTCTCCCCAAGCCCCGACCCCACAAGACAAGGACGGAGCAGCCGGAAAAGCTGGAGGAAGGGGGGCCCACTGGTCAGACCCTGAAGCTTCGGCCGGGAGACATGACTCGAATGCCTCTGCCGCCCCCCCGGAAGGGGCAACCCCCGAAGCTGCCCGAGTCTCGAGATCAAGTAACCCCTGCTCCGACCCCGAAACCCTCAGACGCTTCGGGGCCGGAAGCAGGGGCGGGGGACCAGAACGAACAGAAGGGGAAGGACGAGGAGGTGCGGACTGAACCAGGATCGAAGCGACCCCCACCCCCAAGTCCGGGTCTCGAAAAGCAAAGCGGGGCAGCCCCGGGGCATCCGGGGAAGCAACCAACCGAGCGCGTTGCAACAGACGAAACCTAGACTGCAACGCACGTGCCGCCTGTACCCGAATAGAATCATCAGAGGATTGGGTAAATTGAGTCACAAGCAAGCAGCAACACTCACAGGACTCAGGGTCGAAAGTATCACCGACCCAACAGGCAGCGTGGCAGAGGCAAAAACAATGAGGGTCACCCTGAGACAAGGGGACCGAGCAACCCTCAAACTCGCACACAGCGAGTGGGGACCCCGGGGTCACATCCATCGGACCCACGCGCCCCCTAGGGGATTCCCAGGGTCCTGAGCGTTTACTTTAAGAGGACTCGCGCTCAGGTAGTCCCAGGCAGGGTGCTGCAAACCGGCGCCCAAAACTACCAAGCAAACTTCTAAAGCTGAACCCCAGGGATGTGTACACTCACGGGGACCTAGCAGGGGGCGCCACCGAGGAGAACAGTGGAAGGGCAAAAACAAACTGAATAAAATGACAGAACCCCCCACCAGGCAAAAACAAAAAGAAAAACAAAACCCCGCAAGAGGACAGCGAACCCCAAGGAACAGAGCCGGCCGCGATGTCGGGAATTACAAGCTGAGCAGCACCCTGCGCCCCTACCAGTGCAAACTGCCTCTTACCTGCCGGTAACAAGGGAGAACAGAACACCCAAGAGCCCAACAGGCGGCCGAAAAACCGAAAGGTAAAACGGACCAGCAGAGGCAGACCCCGAGGAGCCTGTGGAAGGTGGCCCCAAGCCCCAAGGGCAGTACTTACAGGGCACCTAGGGAAGGCAGCCCTAGGCGCATGCAGCCCGAGTACTGAAGATAACTCCTGGCTCTCGCACCCACAAAACTAACACCACACTCAAAGCACAGTGCAGTAGCGACACCGGAGCCAGAGCACACGACCATCGCCTATAGCATCAGCCTCAAGAACTGAGGTGTGGGTAGCCGGCGCGGGGGGTCTGGGGCTCCCCCTTCCCCCTCCCGGGGAGGGGGGAGCTGCGCAGACAGCGGCGCGGCAGTGTGTGACGTCACACTAATTTGCTTGTTTTCGGTTGGGGAGTTCTATCCACTAGTTCGGTATTAGGTAGCAATTTTAACCAGAATAGGGGTTTGTTTTGGGGCGCTTACCTTTCTGGGTGCCTGTTCCGGTCGATGGCAGACATAGAATGCTTCCAACTACACGGGGGCTTCTATAGGCCATTGCTCCCCTTGCCTCTCTGAGGGGGCCCGGTTCTGGCCGTGGTCCCCGGTAGGCCTAAGAACTCCATACACATGACTGATGCCAAAGTCTGACATTAGCATATCAGCCTGGGATAGCTCCGGGGAGCCGACGGGGCTCCCCCCAGAAAAAGCATGTTTTTACTTGTCACAGGTGTGGCATCTATCTTGAGGTTATCTTGAGATGATTTCGGGGCTTTTTAGTGTCCCCGCGGCCCGGTCCTCGACCAGGCCTCCACCCCCAGGAAGCAGCCCGTGACAGCTGGCTAGCACCCAGGTACCTATTTTATTGCTAGGTAACAGGGGCATAGGGTGAAAGAAACTCTGCCCATTGTTTCTCGCTGACGCCCGGGATCAAACCTGGGACCACAGGATCACAAGTCCAGTGTACTGTCCGCTTGGCCGACCAGCTCCCTAGTAGGTATATAAAATGCATATTCGAATGGAACATTGTGTCAAAATTTCAAAGCAATCAGTAAAGAGGATTCAGAGATTTCCCTCACATGAAAAACACAATTTAACCCTTAGACCGCATATATTTCCGCAAATATAGGGGGTATAGTAGCGAAAAATATTTGAATTATGTAAAAATAACTGTAAAATGTTAAACAAATCTCCAACTTATTGGCTTCAGTGTTGTGAAACTTTCATCAAAATATTTTCAGAAATTGACTTTAGACGAATTATTGAAAAATATGAACGTTTTATAAATAAGGAGAACAGCTCCTAATAACTGGAAACAAAGGATTATGCAGTAATAAAGAGATGCAAGCACCTCTCCTATGCTCAAAGAATAACAATAGTACAGTAGTATGAAGTGTCCACAAAATGGAGATGCAATTGGTGCTTTTATATCATTGCTGAATAATACATAATAACACAAATAATAATGAATAACTATGTTAATATAATCTATTTTGTTATATATCATATAAATACATTGTCCAATGCTAATATATGTTACTTTCATCAATGTCCCAAGAATCCTTTTTTTTTTTTTTTTAGTTTTTTTTTTTTTCATCCAGTAGGATGAAAAAGTTCTGTAGTAGGATAAGTAGTAATTACACACACACACTCTCTCACTGTGTGTAATTACCTAAGTGTAGTTACAGGATGAGAGAGCTACACTCATGGTGTCCCGTCTTCCCAGCACTCTTTGTCATATAACACTTTGAAACCACTGACGGTCTTGGCTTCCACCACCTTCTCACCTAACTTGTTCCAACCGTCTACCACTCTGTTTGCGAAAGTGAATTTTCTTACATTTCTTCGGCATCTGTGTTTAGCTAGTTTAAATCTATGACCTCTTGTTCTTAAAGTTCCAGGTCTCGGGAAATCTTTCCTATCGATTTTATCAATTCCTGTTACTATTTTGTATGTAGTGATCATATCACCTCTTTTTTCTTCTGCCTTCTAGTTTTGGCATATTTAATGCCTCTAACCTCTCCTCGTAGCTCTTGCCCTTCAGTTCTGGGAGCCACTTAGTAGCATGTCTTTGCACCTTTATTTATTTATTTATTTATTTTATATATACATTATATATGTATGTATGTATGTGTATAATATATATATATATATATATATATGTCGTACCTAGTAGGCAGAACGCACTTGTCAGCCTACTATGCAAGGCCAAATTTGCCTAATAAGCCAACTTTTCCTGAATTAATATATTTTCTCTAATTTTTTTCTCATGAAAAGATAAAGCTACCCGTTTCATTATGTATGAGGTCAATTTTTTTTTATTTTAGTGAAAATCAACGTAGATATATGACCGAACCTAACCAACCCTACCTTACCTAACCTAACCTATCTTTATAGGTTAGGTTAGGTTAGGTAGCCGAAAAAGTTAGGTTAGGTTAGGTTAGGTAGGTTAGGTCGTCGAAAAACAATTAATTCATGAAAACTTGGCTTATTATGCAAATCGGGCCTTGCATAGTAGGCCAAAAAGTGCGTTCTGGCTACTAGGTACGACATATATATATATATATATATATATATATATATATATATATATATATATATATATATGTATATATATATATATATATATATATATATATATATATATATATATATACACACACACACACACACACACACACACACACACACACACACACACACATATACATACACACACACACACACCTAACTTGGGTATCAAGATACTGCTAGGTTAACAAGAGGCATTAAGTGCAAGGAAACATGTGCCACTGTCTCTGTCTCACACATGAATTCAACCTAGGACCTTTCAGTTGTGAACCAACTGCAGTGACCACTGTGCTACAGTGATGTACACATTATCCACTGTGCCACAAACAATTGACTAAACTATAATCAAATTGTTCTCTGGATTAGTTTAATGCAATACAGTACTTTACATGTGTTTCTTTTAAAACATGAAAGTACTGTACTGTACTTTGACAAGGATACTAATACTTTTTACAATTCTTATCATTTATTCAAACTTCATGATATAAAATATTAATGCACTTCTTGAAACATTAAGTTGGCTTTTCTTTCTGAATACTGTACAGCACTCGTATAAGGAACAAATACTTTTATCATCGACATTAATTCCATCATATTATGGGAAGATTTACACTAAGAAAATTTAATATTTAGTTATGGATGATATCTGCAGGCCCCATACAATAAAATTCATGCCTAAGTTTGGTAGGAATGTGTAACAATATTGTTATTAATTACTGTATGTGAAAACTCATTAAAGCGAGCTGCAAACAATACTAGTTTACAATACAGTACAAGGTTTGCTTGCCCAATGAGAACCAAGATGTATTTCTCATGAACTCGACAAAAAGCATATCGAGTGATAGAATATTGAAAGTCTGTATCTTGTAAGAAAATATAAGGACTAGAACAGAAAACAGATTAATATCATTAATTTAAAGTTCCAGGGAAGAAATTTAGAGATGTGGAGAGGGTGGAGACTTTTTAAACAAAACCACTTTACAAAACTCTTCCTTGAATTTGTATTGAACACAGGGGGCAACCTCATCCTGGACCATTAAATTTATAGTGAAATACTACTGCAGTCTTTAACATTTAGGGAGCATGCAAAAGCATTTTGTTGCATAATTATTTTTTTCTGTAAGCACACATCCCGGTTGGAAAAGTGTATGAGGTATACTTTATGAACACACATACAGGGACCCTCCCCCCCAAAAAAAAAATCAATACGAAAGTTATTATTGAGTAGACATAATTGGTTGACAATGGATATAAAGTGTTGCTTAACTTAGGAAAGGTTTCACACACGTCGACATGGTCAAAGAATGTGACAATCAGAGTTTGGGAACCCTGTGCATAGGCATCAATCAGTGCTGCCACTTACCAGTGAGTACTTGATTTGACCACACAAATACACGAGCTGGTTTGAAGCCTCACTATCATTTGTGGAGTTTATTCTGGTCTGGAATGAACCGTTCTCCAGTTCCTTCATATCACCTTGTTCGACCCTGTAGGGACACTTTAAATGATTCCTGCAGCACTGATACATGAAAGCCGTCCTGCCCAACTATTCACAAACCACGTCCATCATACAGAAGATTCTTACTTTAAGAGGCAAACAAATATGATGGCTCAGAAATTAGTAGTACTGTTCACCAAAGTATAAGTGGTAAAACCCTTAGTAACAATGAATAATGTGTAGGGAAAAATTTACAGTACCACAACCATAAAAGTGTTACAGAACTTGTATACACTACTCTTTCCATTGAAAAGTTATTATTAATGCAAGGCGTTACGTTACATGCAAGGTATGAAATTACAGTACTTGTATTTGTATCTTCATTTATGTAACAATCTACCTCTAATACAGCACAGTATACTCCCCTACTGGATGACAAAATGTAGTTAAATTTATTTTCAATTATGTACATTAACATAGGTCAATGAAGTTGAAATCAAACAAATTACAGTACAATCATTATATTATGGTTACAATTATCATTATATCTATTTAACTATGTAAAGAAACCTCCATAATCCCAACCTCTATACTGTATAGTGAATTCCTCTAAATAACTGACCAAATCTGGCTATCAATTCGCCCTTTTGAAATGGTGATTTTTCTGAGAAAAATCTGAATTCAGGAGGATGTGCTTTGAAATCAAGATTACATTAAGCAATTTTCAGCAGATTGTATTTGTTTTCTTTTTACATTTTTGCTCTTTATTAATAAATTTCATTCATGATAATGCATTTTTATTTTAGAAATGTTTTACTATGATTCAACTGTCCGATTAATACAATTTTCTGTGGCATCTGTACACTTACTTAGCATATGTATCGGCCATGTTTGTTTCCTGTGTATGTGCACTCTGGCCTCTCATTACTAAAACATTTTTCACCAGTTTCTTTGGATATACAAATATTTGAAAGTTGAAAGCATGTCATCTGGTATGTGGCAAGAAGGGGTTAAGAGGAACCATCTTATCATGGATAAGAAGGCAGAATTATTGAACAAACTAGAAGGTGGCATGGGAGGCAAATGGCTAGCAGAGAGGAGTATGGCATTGGTTCTAGTACCAGTTCTGGCAAAAATGCACGAGTAGTTATTTATAGCAGATTTAATATTTACATGACAATCTAAATATGAAGAAATATGTATAGATGTAATTTGCTTCGAGAAAACTGAAATTTTGGCAACAAATAACTAAAAAGATACAAGCATTAATGAATAATCTGCATTAAGCAGAAATACAGATTATTCATAAATCTGGTACGATATGGTCTGGACTTTGAAAGTGCCACTGTACTGCATTACAGTAGCTACAAATTCAACTCTCTAAACTAAAGAATATATACTGTATTGCATAATCTATGTGTGTGCTGTTCTACCAATGCTTAAAATCACATTATGAATTACTTTATACATTAAAAATCATCAGCTACAAAATTTTCCACTCCCTTGGAACAGTCTTTAGGCTTCATATAATTCACATCAAGTCTCCTAGACTTCACAATTACAGTTGTCTTAAACATTGACATGGCAGTGATGTATATAATATATTTTTAGGCATATTTGCATACCCTTCCCAAAAATAAAAGATCCAATTTGCTCATTCATTACCTATACAGTACATGATCACAATCTTTAGTGTGCACAAGGTGAGCTATACTCTATCATAAAACTAAAAATCTTATATATGAAGCTATAATAAAATACAAATAGTGTAAAGAAATTTCATAACTCATGTGCACAACACAAGGTCGTCCTCCTCTTGATAAATGGCAAGGATCTTGGTAGTCAAGTCCCATACATCTGTATTTGTACAGTCTGGGTGTAGGACAGTGAACCAGGAGTGGTTGTTTATCTCGTCATCTCCTGGCACCACTATTCCATACACCTGCAGCACTATGTTTAGAATTGCTGCTGCCAACAACTGAGGTGAATACTTTAAGACCATTGAAGAATGATAAATGTCTTGTGTTATGGTCCAGGTCAAGTGGACAATTGGTACATTGTTGAAAGTTTTCTCACCTAACCAATCCTTCAAGGAAAGCAAGTAGTGAAGTAAATAACGGTGTGGTAGATCTACTTTCATCTTGAAACCTAAAACGCGCATCAGAAGCAGTTCTGCTTGAATAAGTGAGTCCCGCATAGTGAAATAAGGGTCCAGGGAGAGAGGGGGCTCTCCTCGGCGCACACAACTAATTCCAACATTAATTATGTCCCTTATCTTAATATCGTCGTCTTCCACCTTAGAAGCTAAATAGATGCACGTAGAACCAATGAGATATGGGTCATAATCCTCCAGCGTGGCAACCGTATAGAATTTGTGGTAATATGTAGCAGCTGTAGCTATGGTCAACACACTGGCCTTTAGTTTGATGCCACATTCAATAACAAAACGTGCTCCTGCGAAGTGATTGTAATTCTTGGTGTAGTCAACAGAAGGGTTAACATACTCCCTCTCAAGTAGATTTATTTGAAATAATGGTGTCTTAGCATTATTAGTTTGGCCTTTGGATGAGGAATTCATCATTTCTTTATACTGTATTTAAACGCCTTATGATAATATACAGTGCTTTGACTTATGTGGTGACAATATTCTTTCATCTAACCTGCAACAAGAAAAGGCCTGCTGTTATATTTCAACTCGTAAATGACACATTGTATATTTCATTAACAAGCAAAGCATTACAATTCATAATATTCCTAGTTTTACTTAGGAATTTTACTTAGCACAATTTTGTGAAGCAGTATAACAAGGGTTCAATTTGCAACCTGTGATTTTATCAATCTGCTAAAAATTATTACTTTTGCAACCAAATTAAAACATTCTCACTGATGATGGCAACCATAAAACCACCATGATTATGTCAAGGTAACCAGATTTAGGCCAAAATTATTTCAAATTAAATCATGCACCTAAATAAGTTAAATCACTAAGAAAATCTCAATCAATTCTCAATCATTATTTATAAAGAAGAAAATTAAAATATACTATTTCTATGGATAATGTGTATCTATATTGCACGTGGACACCATTTCACGTCCTGGTAGGAATACTGTAAATCATTCTTAAACATTTTCAACAGGTGTGTTATTTTCAGTCTACATAGCCTATTGGGATGTACCTATTGGTACATCCCAATAGGTAGACCAGAGCTAAAGTGGTCATGCAGAAAGTTGGATAGGTAATGAAATGATTCAAACATGAAAGGTCAAGCAAGTATTTGCAGATCTAGCTTTGCCACAGGCAAAAAAACAGGTGTTCAGGAACCTCTGCACATAAGATGCCTCTGAGAATGCAAAGAAAACCCAGTAGCAAATGCAGGGAGGAGCAACTAAAGGATCCATCTCAAACATAGGAGGGTACAACAAACCCTCCATATTGAGAGAATAACCCTCTGGCATTAATACACTGAACAATCTCATTGTTAGTCATACCATAACCTGGATCATTAGCACTTTCAGGCTGAATGTCACTGCTCACATATATGTTGTTAACTACAAATTAGCTATGTTTGTACAACAGTATATTGAAGAAAAAATGTCCATATAGAAAATCCTTGATAGGAAGTGTCACCTTGTATCACAAAAGATGGCAGAAACACATGGGTAAATACAGGTACGATTTAGTATTTTTTAAGTCAATATCTGTTGTAATATTTGATATTATAAATCATCATTAACCTTTGCATTACATAATAATGCATGTACTATGTACATACCTATCCTTCCATGCACATGCCAAAAAATGCTTCTGATACAGTATTTTAAAAGTCATATCTAAAACAAATATAATTAATCCTCTACATACCATAGTTTAGCCTTTTTTATTTTTTATTTATTTTTGCATATGGCTAGTGGGGTGGCTGGTGGCGATCACTGGCAAGTGATGAGGTGGTGTGCACATGCAGTATTTTCCCTTTCTATCTTTGTTCCTTATTTCCCACTTTACTTGTAAACTGCTTTCTACAGCTAAATGATGCATTAAGAAGTCAATACAGTAGTTGTATTTTTCATAACATGAGAAATATACTCATGTACTGATATATACATAAAGGTATCACTATATGCATGCCACATTTTCACATAAAAATATTTTCAAGTCCCATTATTACACTTCAGACATTTTAAACACTACTGTATATGCAGTTAACAATGATTAGGAGTTTTTGAAGCTCTCGGTGTGATAGTCTATGTAAACAGTAAATGCACGGTACAACTCCACTCCTTACACCGTGACCATAAATGTGAAGTTATGCTCCCCATACTTTGTCTTCTTGCACACACATTGCATTTCTTCCATTGGAATCTGACTGGAGAATTATGGAGAGAGGGGTACTGCAAGGGTCAATTTTGGGGCCAACCCTTTTTGTCATACATCAGTGACAGACGAGAATATTACAAACCATATCAAATTTGTAGATGACGCTAAGATTTATGGTAAAGTTGGAAGTGAAATTGATATTGAGGGCCTTACAAAGGAGATCTACATGAACCCCACAAATTATCAGAAAACCGAGAAATGCTTTTTAACATTGAAAAATGCAAGACCCCTCTCTGCATGTGGGGCATAACAATGCATGTCACAACTACCAATTTGACAACATTACCTTGCAGCAGATTGAAGAACAGGACCTCGAGTCTGAATCCACAGTTCACTGAAAGCTGCCAGCTTTCTCTCTTGTCGAGGCCACTAGTGTGTTAAGTGGCCCTCTGGTAAGTTGCACAACAACTGGGAGCAATGGTGAAAAAACAAAAACTAACCAAGCCCTAGGAGTAGTTAAGTAAACCTTTGACTTCAAGGAAAAGAAGGTATTTATTCAACTCTTTTTATGCCCCACTTGGATTGTTGTATTTGAGCATGGAAATCTACCTCATCTTCAATAAGACATCTGCTTTGGAGAAAGTTCAACACCAACAAAAATCATTCCAGAACCAAGTTGACCCTCATACCAGGAATGATTAAGGGTCATGGGGATATCACTATAAATCAGATATGCCAGGACTGATCTCATTGAAATTTTGAAAGTACTAAACAATTTGGAGGATACTGATCTAGACCCCTTCCTTAAAAGGTCAGATGCAACATAAACAAGGAGCAACAGTTTTAAGCTCAACAAGCCACAATGTAAGGCAGAGAACAGAATACATTTTCACCCACAGGGTTTTAAACCCATGTAAACACCTAGCTGCAAAAGCAATAGATACCAGAAAACTGCTGAATTTTAAAATCCAGCTCGATAAAATTATCAGAACAAATGGAGGGATCTTTCACAAGCCACTGGCTTCCCTGTCCTTATCAAGGCTACTCTATAGTGGCCCATGGGTATAGACCCCAATATACTGTGACGGAGTTCCCCCCCTTATAATTCTCCCACGCCTGCAGTAAGAGTCATGTCTGCTTTTCCCAAGCGTTCTCTACGTTGCAGGCTACAATTTGATATATGGGAGAGAGTGAAGTGTTCTCGGAGAGCCGAGAAATTTGTGAAATAGTGATATTTTGGCCTGTGGTTTAGGCCCTTTAGGGAGCCAAGATGGCGCTTACCTCTCTGATCTCCCGCCAAAACCGTGTGACGTCAGTGGCACCGGATTGGTCACCGACAGCAATGTGGCACCGGGAGCCAATGAAAACCTCCCGTGGCGAAAATGACGTCACGAAGGAAGGGGGTCCGGCCAGCGCGCCGGGCTGGCGCCATGAGTCATACACGACACGTCATAGAGGTCGGACGTGCGACGAGTGGTCCTGTCGGTCGGACAGCTGTTTCCCACTACCGTGGATTTACGCGTCATCGGAAGTTCGCCAGTACTCTGAGAAGTCTTCCCTAGTTCATGTGTTGAACCAGAAGAGGGAATTGACGGTTATTTGAGCAACAAGTGCTCCAGTCAGGTACTGTGCCAGTAGCAGTGAAGCCGTGCAGTGACGTAGGTTGACGTCTGTGGCAATTCACCAGTTCGTGACAGCGTAGTGGCTGACAGAGCCACTGGGTAGCTGAGGAAGAGAGGACTATTTGGGGAAACCGGACGACTGTAGCTGAGACGTAGGCGACAGCCGTTGCTGGGAGAAGACGACGGCCAGGAGACCGACTCCAACCTTCAAGAAGTCAAGGAGGAGGACGGACCTGCAGTGAGGAGGCACGGAGACGACGCGCTAAACGGTGGGACGACGAGAGGCTCTGGTAGGACACGACGACGTGTGGTGTGGGGGCGTTCCCGACACGAGGACCAGGAGCTACATCTCGACTCTCATCGGAGGATAGGGTGAAGTAGGTGGTTCTAGTTCCCTCCCCATTCCCCTTTAGTTAGCTGTGTTATTTGGCTATATTATCTAGCCTGAAGATTTTATATGTCGTGAGCAAGTCTCACCTATGTCACGGTAAAGCACCAGTGCGCTAGACAGTACTATCAAGAGTACTTGTAATATTCATGTTGATTGTTGGTGTGTACAGGCACCAGGAACCAGTGATAAATTTACTGTGTTGTGTATATCTTTCTATAGATTTTGATATGAACATATAGTGGTAAAATATATATATAAGATTATGCCAGTATTTGGAGGTTAGGCTATGTGCCCAGAAACTATTAATTTTCCATGTATTGATGATTGATTTATAAACCATATATATGTCTATGTTCATTCAGTGAATAATCATTTGTGAGTACAGTGAATTATTGCGTTATCGCCAACGAGAGAAAGTACTGAAAACTCCAGTGTTAATATTTCATAATATATTGTTGGATAAATAACAATGTGAAGCCATTACAGTGAATCATTATAGCATTGATTGTAGAAAAGACTGTTTGAGCCTGAGTACAGTGTAACTGAGTAGTACGGTTTATTTGTGCCAATATCGAGTGTGCGAGTTTCTAGTAATATTGGAAAATTTAAAGGAACAGCGCGCGTGAATCTAGAAAACAAGCAAAGTTCGCGCGGAGAGGCCATTGCAATCAGCTGTTCTTGACACTTGATGAGGAGGGGAGAGTGTTGCCCTCTTGCGGTCGCATAATATCCGTGGGAATTACCGGCCGAGTCAGGATCAGTTGATTTATGATTATTGTGTGGCCTTGTGACATCTTTCATACATTTTAAGTAAAATACAAAACTCTCTTTGTGTTTTTATCATCCCCTCCATTGATCTTGTGGCTATATGATACTGGTAAACATAGAGTGATAACAATTAGTACCTGCCTGATTCCTGATCTTTGAGTGTGACCTTGCCAAGGCTACCACTGAATACACCAGTCCACTGAGGGTGTTACTGGCCACCTTAAACACCAGTTGGCGATCTTGTGGATAACCGTAGAGCCCTATTGTTGGGGAGGGCACACGACAGCCGATGTGCACGAGTCGTGTTCTCACTCTTTCTTAATAAGAGGCCGTTAAGATTGACTGGGAGACTCTCCTGGCGTGCAGTGGCGCCGTGAGGATCGAGGGAAGACCCGCAGGGCTACGGTGAGTTACCTTGAGAGTAACTATTGCTCACCCCAGAGTAAGGGTAGAGAATAATAGAGAAGAGGAGGAAACCCCCAACATTTGGCGACCTTGCCAGGATATAGATCGGAGTAAAGGTTGCAGTGGTACTTGGCAGTGGTGTTAGAGATCAGGTGAAGG